AAGAAATAACACTTGGAGTTCCAAAACTGGTAGTAGCTAGAACTAGGGTTAACAAGAATGAAGAACATTGTTCTAAGACTCTTTATTTTTACTACTAGGATGAAACTGGAAAACTTCAAAATGGTACAATTGGCTCCGAATTTGGAAAAAGTTTGCATCGCCTTCACATCGTTATCGCTTTTGTATATCACGTCCGTACAATAATGTTTACTTTTGGCTATTGATTTCTTCTAATTAAATAGAAACCTATGCTAGTTTAGCATACAAAAATGTTTTGCGGAATAATCAAATACAATGTGGGAGTCATTATGTATAAGATTTGAATTAAGGATAAATTGCTAGCAACTGATTTATTTTATGAAATTTTAATTAGTATACCATGGTTAGTTGGTCTAGTTGGAGTGTCACATCATAAGAAAAATTATCTCTGTTGTTAAAAATAGAGATATAATATTCTTGATAAGCAATATTGTGTTCTTGAGTACCTAACTCAACAAGGTGAATCAGTACTTTTATGTGAATGTTGTGTGTGTCGATTGTGTAAATAATCAAAGACTTGTAGATTTAGAATATGCAAGATTTGATGCTCAATAATAATCGAAATCATCATTTATCTCATATTTATTTCAACATCTTCAGCATAATTCCATGTTTTGGGATTGCCATGTAGCAGATTTGACTACAAAACATTATTTTTCTTAAACCAAGTTGAAGTACTTGAAAATGGGTGTAGAGAGTAAAAGTAATATATCTCTTACATCGATACACTTCCTCTTCTTACATCTTGGTTTTTGTCTAAAACTAAATTCTAAAAATTCTTTGGTTTAATCTTTGTCTCGTTTGCTCCTTTTCACTTCAACAATAAGACTATGAGGCAAGGTGATTGATGTTTGCTTCATTCTTGATTTATCCTTGTCATTTCATCTGCAATTTTTACGTTGTTGGATTAGCTTTGGTAGATGGTCTAACTCTGGTAGATTCTTGAGTCTGGCGATTTTTGGCAATATGACTGTATCTTCAATAATTATAGGTGTGTCTATCAGTTGGATCCAATAACACAAAGGAAGTAAGTGGTACTTCAGAAGTGCACAATAAAGCCAATTTATTCTAGCTTGCGTGGTCTTCGTTTCGGCCATCATGAGATGCAAACTCGTTTATCACGAGAGCGAATGGATGAAACACGATTTTCAGGGTTCAAGGAAGAGATTGACCGCAAATAGACCTCGACATTGTCGTCTACATTTATTGTTTTCATATTGGTCTGAAACACGTTTTCGAAATCACTTTTGATCTCCGTCTCGAGAAGTTCCTCAATTTGTTGGATCCACCGACATTTCAGAGCCCATCGAGATGCAAGAAGAAATCATGACAACGAGCTGCTAACCATTGCACTGCTCACCACAAGATCAGCAGGCTTTGGCACCCACTCCTAATTTTTCCTTTTCATTCACTCCCAGCATTATTCAGAGATCTCTGTCCATCCCTAAACCTCCTAAGTCTTCTCTCGAAGTAGCCGGAATCATAGGCTCCAAGTTGAGTCGACAATTTATAAAGGTCTCTTCAAGTTGTCTTAGTTGCCAAGAGATAAAATCCGTTCCACAACAGGAGTAACAAACCGGTGTGTTTTCACTCTCGCAAATGGAATCCTTAATTTTCAGCTGTCATAATCAGTCGAAAACTCTAGTTAGTTTCTCAAAAGTCAAACTTCATCTGCTGGGAAAGTCTGATAATCATGATGTTCATGCAGCACCGACAGGACCGGTTGTCCGGTGTGCACAGGATGTCAAGTTAGTTGAAGTATGGCATTTCCACACATCTGTAAATTAACTGGCACCATGAGTGGACATTTGTATTTGAGAGACGCTTTTCGTTGCATGATGATGGTCAGAAAGAAGTTGAAAGTCTTGCTTTTATGACGGTTCGTATGCTCTCGTTTTAGATGCTGTGAAAGTGATACAGAAAACCGCTTCCTCTGGCGGAACCGAGATCTGCTTATCTTTTGAAAATTGAAGGCATGTACAGGTTCATGCACTGAAACGAAAACAGTTATAATTAAGTCTTGGACAATATTATGACAATGTCTGTCCCCTTCTACTTCTGCTTCAGTTCGACCGTGCCCTCTTTGCTCAAAGACATGACAACCAAATTGCTCCAGACACATGCAGCAACAAGCGGGCGACAAGAGACGGATGACGATGTCTGCTCGCCAGTGGCAAGGTAATCAAAGTTCAGTGTTGGAAACTTGTCACTGCCTCCATTGAACTGCTCGAGACAGCTTAAGTCTTCATGAAATTAAGGAGGATAGAAAACTGTCGCAGATTAAATACGTGCAACGACTTAATTAAGTACAGATTTCCTTCTCTTGGAAAGAGTACGAGTGGCTCAAAGATGACGCGGACTTCTCAAAAGACGGTGCTCAGAGTTAGAGCACGCCCAACTTGTTCGGGGTTATGAAGCAAAATCACAAAAATAAGTAAATTCCGCATCTAGTCAATGCATGTGTTCCTTTAACCTCTCACCACTTAAGTAGCACCACAACTAACTAATTAGATATCCATATATTCCATTTACAGGCTGATGTGAAGTTATCGTGGTTATGTTCCGAGATGTCATGCTCCCAATAAGAATTCAGGATAGATCAGATTTTGGCTCATCCTTTGAGACTGAGTTTAATTGGAAAGTGTTTTTCATAAAGTACCAAGGTCTCGGGTTTTTAAATTCTTAATAGATAGATTCTGAATTAGATTCTAAAATTGGGTTATGATGAAATTCAATCATTGTATACATTTGAAATTTAGAATCACAATATGAATTTAGTTTGACCATCATGTTTTCTGAATTTAAAAATGGAGGAATAAAATTTCTTGCATGATATTTAATATAATATGATTTGTGATAGGATAAAGATGTATGTTGAAATACTATTTTACTTACAAATACATACATATGCATGCCTTTAGGGTTAACAAAGCAAGCATATATATATATATATATATATATATAGTGGACACAGGTTAGTCGCTGCTAAGAGAAGGGGCAATATAAGTGTGATTTTTTGGTACAAATATTTAAAGGCATGTAAATTCAAATGATCCATCCACATTATGTTTTGAAGAGAATATTTGTTATTGAAAGTTATTTGTTATTTTTTATTAAAATAATGTATACAGCTTATCAATAATTACTTACTTCTAATATTTAATCATGTATGCAAAAAAATATACTGATATCTATGTATATATAAAAATATACGAAAGAAAATTTCTTGCATTTTTTTGGAATAAAATGTATATTTGCATTTTCAATTTACTTGTTACCGAAGCTACAATGAGCAAGTGTAAAGAATAAATGAATATATTTAAATTTGGATCAAAATTATGATGGTTTATTTTCTCTTGGTCTTGGACTTATATTTTTTATTTTGAATTTTTACTTAACTTTTAATCGGTGCATTTACATTTATTGACTTTTTCATTAAATAATCTTAATGAAAAATTTTAATTTCAATGAATAATAATCTACCTGGACGGGCACATTCATTTTACAAAAGGAGAGCTTGAGGATGAAAATATTGAGAAAAGAATATTTCATACGCTCTGTAGATGAATTTTGAAATATTTATCTACGAAGTAACTTGGAAGAAACAAGAGTGAATAAAAAGCGATAGTTGAGTTAACGAAAGTTGCAGATGAAATATATTGAATATTTTAAGAATGAAGGTAAGAATTTATGAAAATATGCGTTAAAATTCTATCAAAATCACTTTCTAGTTTCGATTAGCATTACATATATATTCTTAACCAATTTTATTCATAATTGGTAAAATTAATAAGTAACAAAAATGAAGCCAAGCGGTTATTTTGTAACAGATGTTGTTTTGATGAACATTGCAAACGTAAATGAGTAGTTAAGCTATAAAAAGAATAAGCATTATCAAAGCTAAACCACACTCGAAGGTAAAAACACGGTCAACGGAATGGAAAATAATCACACCAACGGACAGTCGACAATGCTTTCACCAAGTGACATGGAACGAACTTGGTGAAGCGCGTTCAGTAACTTCCACCGCGGCAGTGTCGCCGCACGGGCGGTATGGAGTCCTTCTAATTATTAGAAGGACTCCATACCGCCCTAATATAATATATTAGAATCTAATATAATGTAATGGCCACTACGAGCCTACGCTGCAGGACAAACTTGTTCCTGCTCCTGTCCACCAGACAGTCCGTCATTTCCCTTCACTTTGAATATCAAGTCCTGGCACGGTCTCGGCTCGGTGCGTCTGAGTTCAACGATCCGTTGTACGTTGACGATTATCTCCTGGCCTTGAGATGAATTTCACGAACCGTTTTCACATCACCGTCTCAGAGTTAGCTGTCCACTGATCCGAATTCGCGACGCATTGAGAGCTCATAGGTCATGTCGGAGCAGCATCATTGCTGTGAATGATCCGTATGTTGACCTACGATTTGGAAAAACTCCATTCATTGATGTAAATGTTGCGCTGTATGTTCGGCGCAGTCATAAGCGGGTCATAGACTATGATCTGCGAGTTATTCTGCTACGAGTCTTGTCGACTAATCTGATGTTTCTTTCTACGTGCGTAGTTGAACGTTATTTTTTCTCTATGCTGAATCAGAGAGAGAAGGAGGCTTGAAACGGTCGTGTAATGCTAATGAACGAACATAACATTAGCGTCCATGCTAGTACAACGAGAGAGGTAGAGAGATTGCTTCTGAGTGTACAGTCTACTTCCAGAGTACCGAAGCATACTCTCGCTGTAGATGCAGTCGTATTATCAGACTGCATGTACAACGATAGTTAACTCTGACGGCGATTGTGCGTAATATACGCACATTCGGAGGGTTCTGCTGTTATGGTTTATGCTGCAGAGGTTTCATTCGGTAGCTTTGGGGAATCAAACTTCAGCGAAAGTTGCATATATAGACAGACATGAACTCAGAAAGGATGGATCAGACTACTCGATTCACATGTGACGTCCACAAAAGGCAATTACACTTTGTGCTTCGATTAAATGTCGAGATTGATTTCAAAAATGAAGAATTCCATACATTTGATGGTTCAGGACAGACATTTCTGGCCAAGTAATCTTAAAAGGTGCTAAATAATCCAAATACAAGCTGCCTGGAACGGGCAAACCAACTATCAGGCCTGCCGCAGATCTTCGGACCAATGTAAACGAGAACTAGCTCCAGCAGCGATCTCCAGATTCACCCACGTCCATATCGAGCACTCGAGCACTGCATTGTATCTCTTCCCATTGGATGCGCGCTGTCGTGGACCTGGGCTATGTCAACGGTGGTTAACAGCGGCCTACTGCCAGTGCCCCAGTCCCTTTGGGATTGCGGCACCGAATGAGTGATGTCTGGAGGTTGGAGAGAAATGCTGTCTGGAGGTGGCGGAGGCTCCTACAGGAAAGGAGAAAGGGCAACGAAATCTGGAGGTGGGGGAGTCACCTCTGGGGGAGGAGGAGAAGAATAGACGTAAGGGGGAGGAGACGACTCTGGGGGTGGAGGAGAAGAATAGACGTAAGGGGGAGGAGGTGACGACTCTGGGGGTGGAGGAGAAGAGTAGACGTATGGAGGAGGGGGGGACTTCTCTGGCGGTGGGGGAGAAGCATAGACGTAAGGAGGAGGAGGTGACTTCTCTGGAGGTGGAGGGGAGCTGTAGTAGTATGGTGGAGGGGGAGATTTCACTGGGGGTGGGGGAGAGCTGTAGTAGTAAGGAGGAGGGGGAGACTTCACTGGAGGTGGAGGAGAGCTGTAGTAGTATGGAGGAGGGGGTGACTTCACTGGGGGTGGGGGAGAGCTGTAGTAGTAAGGAGGAGGTGGGGACTTGGCAGGGGGAGGAGGCGATTTGTAGTAGTAAGCTGGTGGAGGAGGTGACTTGTAGACGTAGGCAGGAGGGGGAGGAGACTTGTAGTAGTAAGCTGGGGGAGGGGGAGACTTGTAGACATAGGCTGGAGGTGGAGGAGACTTGTAGTAGTAGGCAGGAGGTGGTGGCGACTTGTAGTGGTAAGCTGGAGGTGGAGGAGATTTGTAAACGTAAGCAGGAGGAGGTGGCGACTTGTAGTAGTAAGCTGGAGGAGGAGGCGACTTGTAGTGATAAGCCGGAGGTGGTGGAGATTTGTAGTAGTACGGAGGTGTCTTGACGGCTGCATTCACAACATGCACGTGGTGTCAGATTCCAATCGTCGAGATATCAGACTGAATTGATCCTGTTTGTAATCAGGCAAAATCATGGAGCTGTACGAGACATAAAAAACCCTGTGCACTTCCACCATGACATTGGCAATACCTTCTCTGCTTGCCACATGCGAGCACAACCAAAAACCCTGAATCTAGCAATGCTCAAGAATTATCCAAACACGGCATTCAATTCTAACTAATGCGCGCCTTCAAGCGATGCACGAAATCCTTGACATTGCGCCATAAGGTGAAGTGCAGGAGGAATGAGAATTCACAGAGAACTTACGTTTCTTGCATTTCAAGACTGTGCCCTTGGGATAATATTTGCCACATTTTTTGGCTAATCCGAGAGCCTTGTTGATATCGACCTTGAACTTGAACTTGGAGCTGGCGGCTTTGCAGAGGCAGTCCAGAGATTCCTTTCTCACGTACTTACAGCACGGTGAGAAGTACTTGGGCATGGGAGCCCATTTCGGGTAGTAACTCTTGGTGACGAAAGCAGAGCAAGCTTCGAAGCCGTGCACGGGGGAGCACTTGGGTGGTGCGGGCTTGTACACCTTCTTGTAGACCCTCTTCGGGAGGGCCTTGACTCCTGTCGCTGACGTTAACGCGACCAAAGCCAGAAGGCAGAGGCCCAGCAGCTGCAGCTTTCTAGATACCATGGCTCCTGCTACGAACTATTGAAAATGCAAACTCCTTCGAACTCTTGCACCTGCAGACACTCGCGCTCTCAGTCCAAGCTCGCTATCGTGAAGAAACCATTCCACCGGATCTCGGTTCCAAGGGTCGCGGACCCGGAAAGTGTGCTATGAGCTTCTTCACGAGTCTATTTATACGGTCACCTCGGATCGAGGTCAGTCGATCAGTCGATGGAGACCAGCGGCTACGCACCTTGCTAACGACAACCGAGACCAGAATCAACGTAATCGTTCAGAAACTCAGATCCAAGTTCATCTGTTCCTGCACAATTCAAGCTGCCACTTCCACGGACAGCTCCTAGTGCGGGGCATGTGGCCTTCAATGATCAGACTAAACTTGACTTACAGCTCCTCGTAAAGCTTATCTTCAACTTTGACTTTGCCCAAGCCTGTCCCGGCCATGGACACTCCGAATTCAATACTCTGTATTTCCGACCTCTGACCTTCCTCGCGAACGTGCACCGCGCTGAGTGCAGTCAGTGGAGCAAGCATCCTCAACGCACCGGGGAGTCTGAACTCCACGGTCCTTCCCACCAGCTAGAGCCTAGAACGGTTGTAGGGTCGGGCACTAGGCTGGGGATCAAATATAGAAGCACCTCGGGTCTATCTGATCTTCATTTAATATCTGAGCTGCTCGGTGGAATCATGATGCTACAGAGATGTGGTCTAGGGATCGGAGCTCTGAGCGTCTACGAGTTTTTTCAGTTCTCGTCAAGTACTCCTCTGGTACGGAGCTTTTGTCCAGAAACAGAGCTTGCGGAAATTGTGGACGTGTGCCGCTGAAAAGGTCCACTGACACTGCTGAATGCTGGGAACCGAACACAGTTCGAGCGCAGTCGGACTGTTGGAGATGCCGAAGAAGAACGATAACTGAGGCTAAAGTGAGGAACCTCCAAAATTTCAACGAGGCTTGGCTCCGAACTGTTGCTACCAAACTTGCTCTCTTTGCTCGGCAAGATCTTTCCGCTTGTTGGAGCTGAACTGCGGTCTAGCCTCTTCGGTGACCTTCGTGAGTCTGCTTAATCACGGTTACATTTCACCCTCTCTGGTTCCTCCCTGATCGATGCTTGCAGTTGACCGTGACCTTGGCGAATGTCTCGAAGGGCATTGTGAACCAAACCCGGAGATGCATGTAGGAAGGAACGATGCCCTCAGTTACAATTATTTTACATATCATTATTCCAAGTCAGGATCCGCTTTATCTCTGTGTAAGTTACCTTTCAGAACTTCTGACGATAAGAGATTTGAATCGACGTAGGCTCTCGTCGCTTATCATTAATCAGAGCAGGCAGACGACACTGACCAATCAAGGGGATGCGATCACTGAAGAAAAAGGATACACCTCTCATTAGGCTTCGATAGAAAGATTGTGAAGTACTGCATTTGGCCAAGAGGTCTCAGATACTGGCCCATCAAAGACTCTGGCCTGACACTGCAGCATCATATGCTACGTTCTCGTTCGTTCCGTTTCAAAACGTCCTGAGACAGACTTTTCAGTGAAGGCACACGTCGACGCTGAATCCAACTCGGGGCTGCAGAAGTCTGGGTTCATCGTTTTTGGATTCCAGTTTTGACGAACTCAAACTGCTCTGATTCAGATTCGGGTGGCACTTCAACACCGATCAACCCAGCAAACACCCACTTGAGTCTGTCCATGGCCACTTGTGACCGTCTTCAGGAAACGAATGAATTAGCGAGTTCGGCAGCTGATACCTCCTCATGCAATGCGAATTTCAGAAGTTGATAGTTCCTGTGTAAGACTTCTTCGAGACGGCTGCTTGTGTATTGCAATGTATATTGGAGCTCCACTTTCCCGGTTTTATATGCCCTTAATACGTTCCTTCACAAGAAATAATCAGAAACCTCAAACGAAGATCCAAGCCCCCAACTCGGGTTCGCTGAATAAATCATATCCAGCAAAGTCTGTAGCAATAGTCGCGGACGAGATTGAGCAAATCGTTATATTTCCCTCAAAGAAAGGGCCAGAACGTCTGTTCATTATGGACAGGTCTAACCACCGACATGTCAATATCTGTCTCGAAAGAATCTCGAGTGAAGAGTCGAACATTCCACATAAGTGAAAAGCTCCTGTGAATGAGCTGACATTCGGAGACAATTCTGTGCCAACTCGTTGACGTTTACAGCAGACGTGTGCTCAGAGCCGACAAATTGTACCAGAGGTTCCTGAACAAGTGCCAGGTGACAGTTGACTTGCGTAGTTAATTCTCCACGCACCAAACGACACAGTTTTCACATTCTGAAAAACACGTGACCAGCAAGGCCCTTTCCCAGGGCCGTCTCTCGATCAGGTCGAATTTGTCCGCTCTGATCAGTCATGCTGCGAAGACGGTCGCCTCATCAATTCTCCACGAGGTTTGTGAACGTGTTTCAGAAAATGCTGAAGACCCTCCTCTTGCAGCGCAGTGGCTGACTTTCCAGCACTTGCAGTTTAGAACCATTAAATCTTCTCATTTTCATGTCACGAGCCTTCCAATCCAACCTCTTCGACACTCCATCCACGTCCAGTGTTGACATAGATTCGAATAAACACTGGGAGGGAGAGTTCAACCTCAACGTTGACACGAATCCATTCAAACTCGCGTTCCTTTTTCTGGACTGATCGACTGGACGACCGACGCCAGTTGTACGCAGCGTAAGCAGTTGGACTCGGTCAGTGGGACAACTTCCATCGTCGAGTGGCATCGAGCAATTTCTTCATCGCTTGTGCCATCGCCAGAATGCATTGGTCTGGAGAAAGTGGCCAATGAAATCATTTCTGAGTTGAGCCCGTGATCGATGTATATATAGAAACATCCAAAACCAGCACGCTGGCTAATTCTTAAATTCAGACTAAGTTTAGAAGTAAAGGACTTGTCTTGAGGATTGTTTCACCCTCCAGTCATTTACGTCTGGGGACTGGCGCACAGGACCTTTCCACACTCGTCCAAGGAGAAAAAGTCACTTTCCTGCACAAATTTTTGTGGAGGCAAATTCTTCTCATGATCTTTTGCAGCGCAGATTGGGAAGAGTTTGTCGATTGCTCGAAAGCTCTGATTGTATTTGAAAACAGTCGCGACAATTAGCCGCGTGAAGGAACTTGAGGAGGGGATCTTAAAGAAGGTCAATTTCTTTGAAATTATTCGAGGCCATTTTACCTTGAACAAGGTCAAATAGTAGGAAACTGTAAATCTCAAAGTGGACTAAAAGACTGAACTTCAATCACGCAAAAAATATGACATAGTGGGGAAGTGCGTGGTCTTGACATTATGACGAGATCTTGGTCCTGGATTTTTTTTGAAATGTCAACGCAAGATACTATAATAACTTCCATCCACGATAGGCCCCACCACCTGTGACTGTTTACCTTATCGCCAACGCCTCCGTTTCTCGACCGAAAGTTTATATCTGATCGCAGTTCATCTGGGGGCACGAGAACAGCCATTCCGTTGTGAAACATTGTTCTCTGTAGCTGCTTTTCGTTAGCGCATTTCAACCGACGATCCTCTATCGTCCCACGGCGTGTACTCGGCCCAAAGCACTTCCGTAAGACTAGCAACGTAAATACATGTTGTGATCTGTGTACGTGATAGAAAAAGGACCCAAGTGGATAGGAAAATATATGGAGACACGGTCAATGATGGATGAAGACATCCGGCTGGTATAATTGTGATACTATCCGCGCTAGCCTATCATGATATTATACAACGTAGGAGCTTATGAATGTGGTCTTTCATTTACCTTCGCAACCAGAACCTCGACCGTAAAGTCTATCGCGCTATATGTAACAAACTTAAATTATTATTATTTTGGATTTAATTGTAGTGTCTATCTGTATCAGTTGCCTGCCGTAGCTACAGCTTTTGGGCCCTGCATTACAGATCACCATTGAAAATGACGGCGTGATGTGACCATCCACAGAGTTGCAAAGTTCGAATGTATATCCAGCATGACGGCTAAATTTAACAGACTAAACTGCTGTGGTGCGCTTACTGATGGTATGCAGACTGTGATGCTGAAACACATTTCTGAGGGGAGGCATTCCTTTCAGGACACTTCTGGATTCTAGATGAAAGGCCAGAATGGATGATCTCTGCAATGTGCAGTAATGCTTTCTTGAGGTAAACCAAAGCTTTCTAACGTGCATCAAGCTTGGAAGAAACTTGCGGGTATTATGTACAGATCAGAATTTCCCGTTCTCCATTAAGGTGTCAGAGTTGTACTTGATTGGGACGTTCCACCTCACCAAGAGATTCCAGGTGGCTTATAACACATATCCCTGCCAGTCGTCAGAACCTGAGTACAGTACATCGGGGAGCTCCTGGGATGTGGCGTGATCAGGAGCCCAGAGTTTCTAAAGCAAGACCATGCGATGGGCTGAAACATACTCTTAACAGAAGGTTTTGACCAGCTTCTAACCGTGAAAGATTTCTCACACCTCCTGGTAGATATTTCGAACTTCTATGAAAAATGCACGGATCTCACTAGCTTCGCCTTATAGCCGTGAGAATCACTGGACTTTGAAGGAATGGGTTTGCTTTACAATATGCACTCAGGCTCTTTCCGAGTCCGAAATTCAATTGTCAGTTGAAAGACAACCTCCACTGGCATCAACAAACGGCGAGGCCTTGAGATTTGTCACGCACCATTTGGCAGCAATGAGGAAGCTCTCACACCGTTCACACTTTTGGCCGCTTTGACAGATCGCATTAATGGATACGTATTTCCGGAGGAGTGGTTTTGACTTTATTTGGCGTTATTACACCTCGCCTCTGACATATTGATTACCTCACAATCTGGACATGCGTATGCTCGAAATATCCTCTTAATTCTCGGGCTTTTGAGTTGAAATTGGAATCCTATGTTCCCATTCGATGGCGAGCCCGTGGGGACACAAGGGCCCCCGGTTGAACTAGAGATGTGTATCATGCCTGTCAGACGTTGTCCGCGTTGCTGGAATGTGAGTGCCAGTCAACCCACAAAGTTAGAGACATCTGCAGTGAGATAGCTCCAAACACGTCGATGGTTTCTCATCTTCACGGGAGACTTGTTCAAAAGCTATCCCGTCTTTTTGGTAAAAGAAGTCCACAATGGACAGGCGGAAATCAAAATGAAATCGTATAATCAAGCGGCAATCCTTCGAAGGACCGCGAAATCGTCATGCAGTCTGTGAACAGGAGCCTCACAAACTGTCAGCATCATCTCCGGGACTGAGCGAACCGTCCAGTGAACATGGATGTGACATGTGTAGTCCCCCTTACGCCCAAATTCTGGCAGTGATCCCGCGATTGATTCTCACTGTCTTTGTATGAGAGTTCTGAAGGCCTTAGAAGCAGGAGCCCACACTACAATCGGAAATTGCACTGCAACAACATTGCCTTATGGCACAAATGTTCATGAATCTCCAACCCCCACCTCCATCAATTGATTAAATTCCCCTTAACCTAGGTCTAAACCAGATAAGATATATACGTCCAGATCGTAGAGATAACTCACCCCTCCATTTACTCCATTTGTATTCATCTTCTCTTCTTTTCAGGAGTGTCATGTAATATAACAGAAGTGCTTTGTAAGCGCCTATTGTGATTGGATTTATCCTGTTGGTCTCAAAAAACTGATCTGTAGACTGTGGACACTTGGACAATCTCGGATCGGACCTCACAGAATGAACACCTAACTGGAGATCCGAGATCGAGAAAGGGACAATGCAGTTGCACCATCTCAGAGTATTCGTCCTATATTGATCCAATCTTGTTTGGAACGAAACGCTCGTATGATGAACAGGGATCTCGTTTCTTGCCAGCGAAAAGGCAAATCTGAAGGCTGTAGGTCCCCACAATCTCCACCCCATGCAAAAGATGAATCGTAGACCTAGTCTGCGCGCTAGTATCCAGAAGTTCATCAGTTAGGTCAATGTGAAGTGAGGACTGTGGAGTCCAGTTGTACTTCGCTAAAGTGGATCTCACGCATAAACGTTTTCTGTGTAATCATAGCAAGAGAATTATCCATCTGCATGGCTGGATCTCTTGAGGATCACATTTCCTCGTCGGAAGAAGGATAATTCTGAACGAGGAACAAAGTCAAAGCCTAAAAGACAACTTGTTCCGAGAACTTTCCTAGTCTCTCGTGGTGGGTCACTACTCCATGAATTACACACACACTTGTCAACTGCTAAAACGCTAGCCCTCACGCGCTAAGAGGCAGATCGCTAAAGTTCACGCAGAATGATGTCTTTGGTCCAGTGTGTTATCTCAGTTAATCCAATGTTGAGACTTTCCACAGCTATCGCTAGCTTGCCCAGCTGACAGCACGTACCCACTCTCGTCATGGACGTCCACCAAGCAGAATTCTTATTGGCATCAATTTGAAAAGGCAATTTGAAGTCAACTGGACCCGAGGGTCACACTCTCATCACTCGAATAAATAGAACTCATTCTGGGCAGAGAAGTCAGAACTCGATTGCAGCTTTTCTCTCATCATCTCCGAGGTACGTGACTCTGATCGAAGTGTACTTCCATGGAGAGCGCTTAAAACATTTAGACTTTCATGTGAAGGAGGACTGAGCAGGTTTCAGTGTAAGCAGAATTTGGACATTTGTACTTGTGGTTTTTTGCTCACACGACTACGCGTTCATGATGCAGATGGTCAGGATGGGGTCCCGGAATATTTATGTTTTGGCTTTCTGCCTGTTGGCGATGCTGGCACTGACTTCAGCTACATATGTCAAACCTAAGCCACCGAAGTGCTCTCCTGTACGAGAATTCGGGGCATGTCAGTTGTTCGTGACCAAGGGCTACTGGAACAAATGGGCTCCAAACAAATACTCTGCCTGCTGTAGGTACGTGAAGAAGGAGTCGCTGGACTGTCTGTGTGCAGCAGCGAACTCGAAGTTCAAGTTCCAGGTTGACATCAGCAAGGCTTTGGGGCTTGCCGCAAAATGTGGCAAATACTATCCCAAGGGCACAGTACTGAAGTGCAAGACACGTGAGTTTCGCATCCCTCATGTCCTCGGATTTCCTTGTGTGTGTCACATGAGCTTGAGGTCACCGTCCTGCTGTGCATTCTGCACATTATTATTCTTCCTTTTTCCTTCCGATTTTGATGTTCATGCTTTTCACAGTCACACGCTCTGATGATCAGTGTGAGGATCTGCTAGATCAACATTTTGGTGATGATCTGCAAATTCCCGACGAGATCGTAACTTTTCCTGACAGTGCAGTCACTGACATCCATTTTGTTCATGCGTGCAGCCGCGAAGCCCACTCCTAGCCCATACTATTACAAGTCACCACCTCCTCCCAAGAAGTCTCCTCCTCCTCCATACAAATACAGCTCTCCACCTCCTCCCAAGAAGTCTCCTCCTCCTCCATACTACTACAAGTCACCACCTCCTCCCAAGAAGTCTCCTCCTCCTCCATACAAATACAGCTCTCCACCTCCTCCCAAGAAATCTCCTCCTCCTCCATACTACTACAGCTCTCCACCTCCTCCCAAGAAGTCTCCTCCTCCTCCATACAAATACAGCTCTCCACCTCCTCCCAAGAAATCTCCTCCTCCTCCATACTACTACAACTCTCCACCTCCTCCAGTCAAGTCTCCTCCTCCTCCATACTACTACAACTCTCCACCTCCTCCTAAGAAATCTCCTCCTCCTCCATACTACTACAACTCTCCACCTCCTCCAGTCAAGTCTCCTCCTCCTCCATACTACTACAACTCTCCACCTCCTCCTAAGAAATCTCCTCCTCCTCCATACTACTACAACTCTCCACCTCCTCCAGTCAAGTCTCCTCCTCCTCCATACTACTACAACTCACCACCTCCCCCAGTCAAGTCCCCACCTCCTCCATACTACTACAACTCTCCACCTCCCCCAGTCAAGTCCCCACCTCCTCCATACTACTACAACTCTCCACCTCCCCCAGTCAAGTCCCCACCTCCTCCATACTACTACAACTCTCCACCTCCTCCAGTGAAGTCTCCTCCTCCTCCATACTACTACAACTCACCACCTCCCCCAGTCAAGTCTCCTCCTCCTCCATATTACTAAAATTGCCCCCCGCCACCACCTAAGTTCCCTCCATCGCCAACATACTGTACTGGGGAGGATCGGAGCTGGACATGAGATTGGAAGTCCACATTCGGTGATCGGAATGTTCATGGCTTTTCTAAAATTTTCTGATTGAGTGGCGCATCGAGTTCTAAAAAGGTTCAGAACCTGATGATATTCTTCTAGCCTCCCAGGAGAAGGAAGACCTTGAACTCTCTGGTGCGTTTGAGAGGATCTTCCGGAATTGCAGCTTTGATTTTTGTCTCAGATGAAAGTATGTGGTAGACATCATGATTTCCCTGCCTACTGAACTGTACGAATCGGTATGGTTTTGTATTTTATCTAGATCTCAGGCCCGGTCGAAACAAGCTGGCCAGAGTTATCTCTGTATCTCGTGTTCAAAGACGCAAGAAGAATATATATATAAACATGCATTCTGTGCGACATTACTTGAAGTCTTGTCAGATTAGTATGAAATGTTGCGCTACAAGCCTGGGCATGAGGAAGTCCAACTTCCGACATCTAAATGGGTCTGCATGAGAATGTGAGTTCTAAAGTTGTACAAATTTTCCTTGTCTATGTGGACATTTGTGCTGCTGAAGTAGTTCCGAAAATGTCTACATCTAAATCTCGTATCTTTGAATTGCGCTCTCTGTACACTTCTGTCATTTAGAGGTTACACAAGGTTACGGATGTGACTAATTCTAGCATGGGTTCGGAAGGGACGAGTGACATCGTTAAACACAGCAACTCATTCCTAGTCTCATACTTGCAATTCACCACAAAAGCAGTAGGTCACCCATACTCCGTCTGGACGTACTGAAACCAAATTAGATCCTCCAAGCCCTTCAGTACTTGTGCATGTTATGGACACGTCGACCAGAAGGTGCTGGCCACTGCAATGCACATGGCCAAGAGAAGGATTTTCCGATATTGCACTGACCTCTCGAGAATCAGCTCTCTTGACTCCGCACTTGCAAGTTGCAGTGATCAAGTAGACGGCGAAGGGAAGAGAGGGGAAGAATCCAGCAAGCATGGAGAAGTGAACTATTGCGTGAGGCATGCTCCCAATCACTTCATGTCACTGTCTGTATGACGAAGTTGTTGTCTTGAGGAACTCAGAAACTCCACGGGGAGAAAACGCTCTCTTTTGTGCCTGTCACATGAAAATTGTATCTGACTATTTCTCAGATGAAAAGAAAACTCTAACCAATTCGCCAAAGCAGAAGACACTAGAACATTAATTCCGATTACCCCATGTCTTATAAAATGACTTCCGAGTTCCAAATTTTACCTGCCGAAGCCCACTGTGTGTGTCTCCTCGTGACCTCGCCTTTTCCATCTCGTTCTGTCGTGTTCCCACGTGCTTATCGAATGAATCACGTACCCTGTACAATACGTCCAATTGTTGCTATTCAGTACAGTGACCCTGGCCACGGTACTGAGTAGCCATAGATGGCCAAATCAGTCACCACAGTACCTCCTGACGTTCTGTAACTTAACTGCAGTGGCCTCGAATAATCTAGCATTCTATTTTTAGATGCCAACTTTGAGAGAATTAAACTGAACAAATTGTCTTGATTCAATTATATAGTCGGGCCACGGACCACCCGCTCACAGGTGATATCGCTCGCCATAATTATGTATTGTCCAATCCCTAAGATGGTTACTGCTTGAAGAGAGTACCAAGGGCTGTAAGGAATTTCCAGCGCATAGTGATGAATCACTTCAAGTCTTACTTTGGAAGTGGGCCTAATATTGACCTAGGAAATGCATAGGAAAGAAAGTCAAATTCACACCAAAGAAAGTAATCCAAATTTGATATTGACCTTAACGCTCTGGGTCAATATTAGACCCAGACATAACAATATTTAACAGAGTCTAATAGTGAGTTTTCATATAAGTATTCTAGTGATATTAAAAAAAAAGTTTGTAATTTTTCTTTGTAGTTTTTTAACATAGATTACAATAAAATATTCATACTATTAAAAAAATTATACTGAACCAATGTTCAATTTATGTAAGTGTCTGTTCAATTTTAATTTATATTGAAGGTACTTATACATTAAATTGGTAAAAAAATGAGAAAAAAAAATTGAATACAAATTCTTGAAGGATAAATTTTTTAAAACTTTCACAATTATTCTTTATGAAAATAATTATTACTTACTTAAAGTTTTCATGAAAGATCAAGTGGTTCAGAATTTAAAAAACTTAGATAGCTATCATTAAAAGAAATAATAGGAAACATTTTGAAATGTCTCTTTAGAATTTAAATAAAATTATATTTAAATATATTTAATCAAGATTTATAACACAAGTGATGTGAAAAAATTTGCTGTTAATTCTTGATTTTTCCAGAATTTTTTTTGGTTTAGTGGATGGTGGTACTGCATAGCAGAGGAAAATCTAAAATTAAAGAATCAATCTGTTTAGTTAAATACTTTTTTGAATTATTTTAGAACATTATATTTAATGCTTTCCTAAATTTTTAATTTATTGTATTTTAAGATTTTAAGTAAAACATTAACATTTGTAGTGAAGTAGTTTTTGCACTATGATGATATATCAAATTCAACAGCAATCTAGCAATAATAAACGTATTATGTGTTCTGTGGTAATTGACTCGAAAGCTGCCAATGTCTCTCATTTTTTACGTGCAAAGTCTGTAGGCTGCCAGGTCGGTGGCAATTTTGGATATAACATCATACCTTTCGAAGGCCACAGTGATTATTTGCTTTGAAAAAAACAAGTAAAAGTAAAATTATGATCCATGGGTCTCACTATGCATGGAAGAAAAACCTTCTTGCATAAATGATATTGAATGGAGTGCTGCTTAGGACCATGCAGTTTGCACGGTGTCGGTAAATCTAGACCCTACCATTGATTAGATGCCATTGGCATACTCAAGTAGGTTGAGTACTTTGAAGTTTCCCAATTGCTTGATGCATTTCACTAAGGGTTCCATCAGAAGAATCCAACGATTGTGATGAACACTTACAGTGATTGTTACAATTTACTATGAAGCCCGGCACGCGCATACAAGTACACATTCACGCCTATGGAAAACTTTTGTTGGATCTTCGGAATATGGAGGAGGAGTGTATTGACACAAAGAAGACAATGCATCGACTCCACTCATTGCCGTCTACTTATCAGACACTATCGAAGATTTTTCTTCATCGTCACAACACAACAGTCACTTACAACGAGGTTGTAAGTGCTCTTCTAACGGATGCGGTTGAGCAGTATTTGTTATCACCTCCATCCCTTCCACTTCTCGGACAAAATTAAGTATGGCTCGAGGTCAATCATAACCGAGACATACCAATGATTCACGACGTCTAGGATTGAAGAGTCAAAAATCAAGATCTCATGACCGAAGGAAAGTATAGTTTATGGCTCAATCATTTGAAAAGAATAATGTTGTGTGTTAGAGATGTGGTAAGAAAGGCTATATTATGAAGTTTTGCCGAATGACAAGTACAGCCTCCACTTTAGTGGCGAACATTGCTGAACATCTTGATACTGAGGCGAACGATTTGTACACAGACGGCCTATGATGCCAGAGGTATGCACTGTACAATTCACCACAAGTTGTTGATGATGTATGAATTCTGAACGGTGCTTGTTCTAATCACATTTGTTACATTAGAAAGTTCTTTTGTATTTTTTCCGTATCAAACTATTCAATTCTTATGGGGAACAATCAACCCTGTAGAATTGAGGGTATTGGATCTGTAAAGATCCGCATGTTTGATAGTGTCAACCGTACATTGAACCATGTTAGGTTTATACCTAACATGTGAAAGAACTTGATCTCTCTTGGATTGTTGGACTCACACGACTTAGAATGAAGCTTTAGGTATGGCGTGTTAGATGTCAGATCGTGTGATAAGAAGGTTATTTTTTGGGAATACAAGCATAATAATCTGTACTTATTAGAGTGCATCACTATTTGTGGCGAAGTTCACTTTATCAGATCTGGCGTTGAGATGTCTCATGTATGGCATTCCATATTATACCATACGAGTGATTGATACATGTCTCTTCTTGATGAAAAAAAGGTATTATCCGGTTTGGGTATAGTTGACTTGTCAATTTTTGTGAACATTGCATCATAGGAAAACAACATAGGCAAACTTTTGGCGTTGGACATCATAGTTCAAAGTAGATACTGAAGTATGTACATAGTGACGTGTGGGGACACTCTCCTGTTGCCTCACTGTTTGGAAAATTGTACTATGTTTCTTTTATAGATGATTACTCTAGGTATGTGTGGGTATATTTTCTTACCCACAAGTCTGAGGTTTTTTCAAGTTTCAAAAGTTGACGTATACAAGTTGAGACTCAGACTGGACACAAGGTGAAATATTTGCAATCACATAATGGTGACGAGTATACTAGTGAGGAATTTCATAGGTATTGTACAGAGGAAAGAATTACTCGTCATTTCACGATCATTTATACTCCACAACAAAATGCTATTTTTGAACGACTCAATCGATTAGTGTTAAAGAAGGTGCGAAGTATGCTAAGCAAATTAGGTTTACCAGGGAAATTTTTGGCCAAAGCTGTCAACACCGCCATTTATTTGGTAAACCTTTCTTCTTCTAGTGCAATCAATTCCTCAACGCCGTTTGAACTGAGATATAAACAGATGGCAGATTATAATCGCTTGAGAATTTTTAGTTGTACTTTTTATCCTCTTATATCTAAGGAGCACAAGACAAAATTAGATTTTACATCCAGGAAATGCCATTTTTTGGACATGCTAGCGGCGTGAAATGTTACAGACTATAAGATCCAGTTGCTAGTAAGGTGATTGTTAGTAGAGATGTTTCTTTTGATGAGCCTGGCTTATTGAAAGAGGGGGAGAGTGTGAAGGATTCCCTTACTGACAAGGGGAAATTTTTACTCATGGATGTTGTTGTGGGAGAGTTTGATCATTCTATCACTAATGATCTGTCACATGAAGAAGCACCGATACATGTGGAGCGAGTTCTTGAGGAACAAGAACTATAGGAGCAAACTATTGTTGGTGAGACTATTGCAACATTACCAGATGATAGAGATCACGAAAATGTCTACTAGGAGATCACAACGTTCTAGTAGAGCTCCTAAGAGATTTGATATATGGGCCAACTCATCCATTCTCAAAGATCATGACCTTGATTTTGAAGATGAGTATGGTATGGCGTTAATCTTGAAAGAAAATGAATACTTTTCATACAGAGAAGTTCAAGCTTCGATCAACAAGCTTAAATGAAATGCTACTATGGAGCGGGAGATGCAGTCACTGATTGACAACAAGACTTGGGAGTTGGTCGAGCTTCCTAAAGATCGGACAGTGATTGATTCCAAGTGGGTGTACAAGTTGAAAGACAATCTAGCAGGAGATGATGCAAGAATCTTCAAAGCTAGATTGGTGGTTAGAGGTTTCACATAGGCGAAAGGTGTGGATTATAACGAAGTTTATTCGCCTGTAGCAAAATATGCTACAATTTGTCTGGTATGTGCATTGGCCGCAATATTAAGTCTTGTTATGAATCAGATGGATGTGGTTACAGCTTTTCTTTATGGATATCTAGAGGAAGATATCTACATGAGACAACCAATTGGCTTTGAGGTCAAAGTCCAGAAAAGATTGTTCTGTAGATTACTGAAATCAGTCTATGAACTGAAGCAAACTCCTAGCAATGGACCACACGTTTTGATGAGTTTATGAAGGCACAAAATTTTCTACGAAACGTGTATGATCCTTGTGTCTTTATGAAGAAGGTGAATGATAAGACGTTCAATCTCATCATTTTAGTACTTTACGTTAACGACATGCTTATCTTGACAAAAAACCAATCCCATGTCGATGAATGCAAGAGTCAGCTGAAGTCTGCATTTAAGATGAAAGATATGGTAAATGGTAAATGGAAATGGAAAATAGATCAAGCCCGTGGGACCCAAAGGGTCAAAAGGCTAAAAAAACACAATATAAACAATCCAGCTCCAAACTAGGAGAGAACCAAAAGAACCTCCTAGCTAGTGCCCAAAGCATATGAGGGAGTCAAAGAGGATATTATGCATGGATATTTAAAGGAATTTTGAAGAAAAGAAGCTATGGCTGAGTCAGTGCAAGTATGTTCGCCGTTTACTTGATAGGTTCAACATAGACGATTCAAAAGGAGTATGGACTCCTTTGACGACACATTTTAAACTCTCCGCAACCCAATGTCATACAGATGTTGTGGAGAAAGAAAGAATGTCATGTGTTCCCTATGAACAAGCTGTAGTCAGCCTCATGTATTTAATGATGTGCACTAGGTCTGATATTGCTCTAGCAATGGATAAGGTGAGAAGTTCACTGGGTTGAAGGGTGGTAAGGTGAAAAGTTCACTGGGAAGTAGTGAAATGGATTTTGAGATATCTGAAGAGTACTGTGGATTATGGCTTATTGTTTGATTGGTTATTAGATAAATGCCAAGTCCTTGTTTGGCTACGCTGATGCTTACTACGCACAAGATTTAGACAAAAAGAGATCTATATGTGGATATGTGTTTACACTTGGTGGCAGAAGCATTAGTTGGAGATCTACCTTGCAGTAGTGTGTAGCTCAGTCAACAACAGAAACTGAGTATGTGATAGCAGCAGAAGCAAAAAAGGAAGCTATGTGGTTGAATAGGCTTATCATGGAGATGAGATTAACACAAGGCGTGATCAATTTTCATTATGATAGCCAAAGTGCTTTACATTTGGATGTGAATCAAGTCATGGATAGCAGAGTGAAGCACATCAACATTATATATCACTTTATTATACAAGCAGTGTTTGATAAAACAATTGAACTAGTTAAGATTGACAGTAAATTCAATCCTGCTGATGCATTGATCAAAGTTATTCTTTTAGAGAGTTTCAGGCGATATTGTGCTACTATGCAAGTTGTGCATAGGGAGCACGAGAGATATGGTTTTTACTTACCTCTGTATATTATTACTCTATACTCTTATGGCTACGGCTTAATTTTAGTTAATTCTTGTTTAATTAGGAACCTAGTGGTAGCTTTCCGTTTAGAACTTCACGCAGAGAAATTTTATAGTTGACTGAGATTACTTAACATGAGTTAAGGGTGAAATTATAAAATTAACTTTGTATGTTATTACTCTATCATGTTATGGAAGTAATAATATAGATTAGAGAGTTGACTGAGATTTCTTAACGCGAGTTAAGGGAGAGATTGTTGAGGTTAACTCTGATTAAAGAGTTAATTGAGGTTAACCTCATATGTAGCTATTTATATCATAGAGTGGTTGTCTACCTTGGGTGTATATAACCTAAGGATGATAGGAAGTCACTCACTTCAAGCAATAAACTCTCTCATATGTATTCCTCCGTGGACGTAGTCCATGAGGGTGAATCACGTTATACGTGTGTCTTTTGTGTTTATCGTGTTGTTGGTTTGTTCAGTCTAAAGTTAACCGTAAGAAATTTGCCAATTTTTTATGTTAACAAAAACTTGCTTCTAGTGGAAAGAAATTTTTCTAAAGAAGAGATATGGAGTCTCACTTTTTAATCAAAAAAGTCTCTTCCGTCAATCAGGTGTTGACGATTTGGTCAAGAAAATACCTCCAAACTCATTTGAGTTGTCAACACATCTGAGTCTTGAGGGCCAAAAGAGTCCAATGTTCATATGATAGAAGATTTGATTGGGGTTCTAACTCTTCTGAGTTGTGCTTGTGGGTCGAGCCATCAACCTCATGCTTGTGAGTTGAAGACTCCATTAATTATTTTCTCAGTGACGCCTCAATTTCTTTGCTATCAATGTTCACACATCTTTCATTTTCAATTTTTTGCCACTGCTCACAATACCAGTACACTAGGAGCACGGTGTTCATCTTTCTCAGGGTCACCCTATAATCAGTACAATTATATAGTTGGAACAACGTGATTCAATAGCAGAAAAAATCACATATCTGCAAATTTAAGATTTTAATTTTCTTTATGGTCGCATTGCTCAAAGTGGTGTTTTTTATCGATGAACCACAAGACAAGAATGAATATTATTATGTAAAAGAAATTTCAATTTAAGTCAAAATCTACTTCACTTGAAGGAATCATGAAGATGGCGTTGATGAATATAAGAACAACTTCAACTATTCATGTATCAATTTTCCATCAATTTTATGTAAATTTTGCACTCATCCAACTGTGATGAGTACGGACGATATCGATTTAGGGCGATAACCTTACCCTAACTGCTACCTTTAATCCCATAACCTTATGACAATTTATTGCCAATAGGCAGCATTGAAGAAACGTAAAACCCAAAATGATATTAGGTACGTGATATTCTTCAATTTTATTGTCATAAAAATCGAAGAAAATGCAAGATTACTGATGTAAGATGGAAAATTTCATATGCAGATGCTGCTTCCACTGAGAGTTGAACTCAGGACCTCCCGCTTACTAAACGGGTGCTCTAGCCAACTGAGCTATAGAAGCTCATAAGCTAAGCTTGTTGGAGAATCTTGCGGGCTACGTAATAATAATTCGTTTTGTTTCATCTTTGGGTCTTCACCAATCTATATATTGTTTAACTCAATTTGGCTCGCGCTGTCATCAATATGGTGTGTGATGTACTCGGAAGGTTGTATTGAGAATGAATGTTATCAAGTTAAATGGGGGGTCCAAGGTAGAGAATATTGTCAATAAACATACAGTAGTAGTATATTATGGAGAAAATCATCTGATGGAACCTCCGTAAATCAAAACACTTGGTGAGACCAACAGTAATCATTTTACCACATGGGAACTTGGACGTTCTTTGCAACCCACCGTCACCTGCACGTGGTCAAGTTCTTGTAATTGCTCTGCTTAAGGTTCCAGTATCTATGTTTTTCAAGTAGATTCTTGCACTCAACGATAAATGATGATACAATGAGTCCGGAAAAGTATAATCGAGTGCAACTGCTTGTGTCCAACAATAATCAAACTCGATATTCCAAAAATGATATTTATAAATTTCATGCTCTGGCACGTAACATTGCTACTAAGAAACTACTATTGTAAACTAGAATTATGAACTCACCACATGTCAATGCTCCAACACGGTATGGACTTTTGCTAACATTCCCCACTAAAACTATCAGTCTTTGGAACTATGAACGTTGGAAGAACTCGCATGGTAACATGGGTGACTGTGTGCTGAAGGCCGTCGGAGGGTGACGGTGGGTCTTAGGGTAAAATGAATCTTGTTTGTACAAACAGGTGTTTTGTTATCGGAGGGATCATCAATTAATTTCTTCTATATTATGTCATTAGCTCGAGAGCATCGAAGCTTATGTGAAATGCTCGTAATTGCCCATGCAAATTTCTTCTGTGTTCCCATGTTCTCCGCCACCTATGTTTGTGTTTGTAACCTGGAACCTTAATTTGTAGCTGCTGAGTTTCACACTATAAGTGTAACACTGCTTCATGTAGAGGCAACTGTTTTTCGCTGCTATCATTGACAGTGCTATGTTATCATCTTTGTTTCCTGATACATGAGATTTGACCAAATTCAGTTTTACGAGACTCGGTCCTTGCGCTACATGTCCCAACTTCTTAATGGATACCGTGTTACGCTATCTCCTTTGGGTAAACACACTCCCCAGGCTGAAATTTCAGGCCTTATTATTTCTCTTACGGAATCTTCCGGCGCTACCTTGGGCGAGAACATTTACTTGGTTCAGAGGACATGTGCCAAATTGAACTTGCCATTGTACTGGAGGTCATGATCTTATGGCACCTCATGCACGCCATAAGAACTTCGTGTTGAGAGATCTTTCTTCTGCCTCCTGCCTCCGCCCTGATCATTTTTTATTTTTTTCTTTTCGACAGCGGTGTACAGAGGCCTGAGGTTCGAGAAATTCGAGCGCCCGTCAGAGTTATGTCGAGGAACGAATGGAAGGCCAAGCCGAATGTTAGAGGCTTTGGCCGGCAGATGTCGGACACTCCGCAAGCAGATGAACCCCTTGCCGAATAGATAGCTGAAAGACACTTCGCTGCCGTCTGAAGACCTCGTGCACGAGCACGAGCAGAGCGAAAATCTATCCCGGAAAAGGATGTTGTGGGTCAATTCGATCGGGCGTGGCTTCTAGTTCAGATTTGTTCAGGTGCTGGGGTGACGCTGGGCGCTTCTACTGGAAGCCTGGTGAAGCATGCCAGAAACTCGATGTTTCCTTCCGCGCCTTTGAGAGGAGACTGGATCCAGCCCTCGCACTTAAACCCACAAGCTTCCACTCCATGCACGACCCTGGCGACGACCTCCTTGTGAACCTCCGGATCCCTAACCACGCCTCCGCTGCCGACCTGAGATTTTCGAGCTTCGAATTGTGGTTTGATGAGGGCGATCAAAGTCGCTTCAGGCTTCATGGCCGCGAGCACTGCCGGCATGACGAGCAGGATGGATATGAAGGCGAGGTCGAGCGTGACAATGTCCACCAGCTGAGGTAAGTCGGCCAGGTAGCGCAAATTGGTTCTCTCCATCACGCAAACCCTCTCCTCCCGTCGAATCTTCTCGGCGACCTGCCCATACCCGACGTCCACGCCGTAGACAAACGAAGCTCCATACTGCAGTAGGCAATCGGTGAATCCGCCAGTGGATAGCCCCGCGTCGAGAGCCACCTTGCCCTGGATATCGCACTTGAAGTGTTCTAGGGCCGCCTCCAGCTTATATCCCGCACGGCACACGAATTTCGGAATTTCGGCGTCGATGATAATGTTCGAGGTAGTCAAAACAGGAGCACCGGCCTTAGCAGCTGGTTTACCATCCACCGTCACCTTCCCTTGCAAGATCCATGACTGAATCATCGTTCTACTGAACTGCGGAAATTTCTCGACGCACACCTCGTCCAGTCTCCGCTTTCTCTTGACCAGCCTCACCCTCGGCTCTACGCTTGGCTCTGCCTCTCCAGCATAGCATCTTGCAGCGACCGAGTTCTCGGACACGAGCCCAGGGTTCAACAAACACGGAGCTGGAGGCCTTCTCAAACCGAGTCTGCGCAAATTGCTGTCAGCAAAACCTGCGTCTCGAACAGAAACCCAGCTAGAATACTTGCCATGGCTCCATCGGAGCAGTCGAGCGACCTGGCGAGGAAGCTGCACAGTTGAGCTGTGGTGGAGGGCCATCGCTCTCGCGGGCTTCTCTCACGATCGCAAATCCGACTCCCGCTGCCTGCCTGCTGCAATCCTACCGGGTTTAGGGTTTAAGAGCAGCGTCGGAACACAAATCCTAATTCGCGCACGAGACCCACTGCAAATGCAAACGTCGCGCAATCCCTTCACACTCGAGGGAATGCAATCGATCCTCGGCCTCCCGACGAGTCCCGTCCCACAGCACAAACAACGACCGACAGCCGAACGCCGACAGCTCCTCCGGCTTCCACGGCGGGAGGGGATAACGGTTATCAACATGGCAGGTAGGGTACCCGCGCTCGCTTTTTCTGTACCGATTGGACTAATTAAGTGCTTCTGATATAATTTAACAGCTCGGCCGTCGTTACGTACACAGGTCAACAATTTTCGTACTCATGTTTCCTAAGGTCATGTTAACTTTCACATTAGAGGAATTATGTAAAAAAAATATTTGGAGTTCACTTGTGAACTGGAAAGATAATATCGCCACACTGAATTTGAAAAACGCGTGTGAGTTGTGATGCGGGCGATTTCAAACTATCAAGTTCTAATTTTTTTTAATCTTTTGGAACATATTCTTCAAGAGTTTCTCGGGCGAAGAGCATTTATGCGGTTTGTATTGCTCGGACATGAATTGCAAATCTGAACCTTGGGATATGTTCTTAACCTCCTTCTTCAATCTTTACCGGATTCATCGTGTCATGTTGTCTTGACGTTTGGTATTTTTTTTAAAATTGATTTGAAAACATGATCTATGTCTTCTGAACAACGGAAGAATCATTCTAATTCTTTTCCACGTGGTTGCAAGATGACTTAGTTTTATAATGAAATGCATCCATAATTATTTTAATCAACTAAAATGATATACATGAAAATAATAATTTAATAGCTCTTCTCTCCACAATATCATTTATTGTATTTCACTATAAATGATTTTACCCTTTTAAATAGTAATATTATTATTGGACTTGTGAAATTTTATGGAATGTAACATTCTATATTAATTTAGCAAGAGAAAATCTTCGTTAAGTGTATCCCAATCTTGACTAATGTGACAAGTTGTATGGTTACACGGATTATTGTTAAGAGCTGTTATTACAGAAATAATAATAGCGGTACAGGTGAGCTGTCCAAACCATTATTCATATAATTAAAACAACATTGTCCAATCCAAAATATACAATTTGTACTCGAAAAAAAAATGAATTAATATTACTTTTCACAAGGTGAAAATTTAGTCGAACTTTTTAAATGTCTCATGACAAAATGCTCAGCTACTGGTATAGCATCACAAAAACAATCACGTAACTACAAAAGTAAATAAAGAAAGAAATAAATAAAATTTTCTGAGTGACACACGTGCTCTATTAAATCACGTAACTACAACTAAGCAAAGGCATATATATATAAAATTTGCTGAGTGACACTCGACCTACGTGCTCTATTATACATTACATGATCGTGGGCGGAACATAGGCTAAGGTAGGGCGAGACAAGACGAGCTTGCCAAAGACAGCGGTTGTGGTTGAACCCAAGAAGAATCGAAGGGGCCCTTTTCAACAACAAAGGCAAATCTGCTTCGATGCCGATGATGGCCACAATAAATTCTATAATAATCGTGCGCCGCGCCAGAGAATATCTGATGGCCGGGTAGAAAAAAAGGGGGAATCGATGCGACAGACGCCGGACTCAAATAAAAGGCCCGACCGAATACATGTCGATATACTTAGATACTGTACCGGGCGGGGATCGGCATGAGCCACTTTCCAGATCATGCTTCGTTCCGGGGGCCGCTGGCAGGCAGGCAGGCAGGCGCGCCTTGAGACGTTGAGGCGCTGATAAGAATTTAGCAGACGCAAGGAGCGTGAGATGAATGGGCCATAATACGCACGGCGGTGGTCTGGGGAGTACAATGTGCACCGCGTGATTCGAGACTGGCTGCGGAGAGCAGAATTGCGCATTTCTGTCGGTGCTAGGGTGCAGAGTCGGACCACACGGTCGCAGCAGACATGGCTCAGTGTGCCGGAGTTCCACCACGCCCTTCTCGGACGCAATTCTGAACTTGAGCCTCGGAATTGGAGCTGCAATTTGTTCGTCTTCCTCGAGATATGGCTTCTGCTTCAGCTTCAGCGGCAGCGGTAGCGGGGCGGAAGATCTTTGGGAGCTTGAGGCCGCTCCGTCGTTTTCCGGCTGGTCTTGTGAGCCGGAGGATATGGCCGACGGACTGCGTTGATGGCGTGGGTCCCAGGCTCGTCCCAGATGGCTTGGCGAGCTCCTCTTCCTCCAGGTGTTTCTCTGCCTGGAGAGCTTCGTCCGTGACGCTCAAGTCCGATGGCGATCTGGATGTCGCTGAGGTCGGTTTGCTCTCTCCGCCCATATTCGATCAGTGTGAAGGAAATTCTCGCTTGATGGGGAAGTGGGTTCACTCAATTTTGCATTTTTCTGTCAAAGCGCTTTTGCATGCTCACAGTTGTTGATGCAGCATAGTCTCGGGTATTGGGTGAGTGAGGCTTATATTTGCGGAGCAGTTCTGTCGATCTGCCTGAGGTTCACCTCTGTTGTATAACTGATGCTGTCACAAGGTAGTTCATGAAATTTTCGAATGGCACGCAAAATTTCAGAAAGCGATTCTACGCTCTTTCAGGAGAATTTACGTAGTCAAATTCAAAATTTTCTGCCTCAATCCTGCGTCATAGTTGCTTAACAGTCATGACTTTCAGAACTCCTGAACCTTGTTGAAGTCAGATGCACCGATCTCACTCGTCAACGTGATGGGATATTTATGTTCAGCATTCTTTTATGTCATGTTGTCCAAATACACGGAATGGTTGAATTTCTGAGTAAGTATAACACGCTTGTTTAAACATCTTTGCTTCTCAAAAACAATATGCAACATGGTCCTTCAAACACCCTTCCTTATCAAAACCGTCTACAGAAATACGAGAAATACATCAATTGCAAGGGAATCAAAAGTACACACAAAGATCTTTTCTCTATGATGTACTTACACGACAAGCGGAATCTTGGTCTTGACTTGATCTCTGGTGTTGCTCACAGGTTTCGCCTTTCCCAGGAGCAAGGATAATGTACACAGAGGATCTGCAGTTTGTAACTGAAACAAGCCCTTCCACGGTGCCATGCTTTCGAGTTCTTTCCGAAAATGGAGAGGAGCTGACAAAAAATTTCTCCGAAGTGAGCTTTCGTAGTTTCCCTTCAGCTTTATTGTATGGCCTAGTGAAGGATGATTGTTGCCATGTTAATTTGAAGTCATGCCATCATTTGGACAAGGTTCGCGGCCTTGTGCAGCTTGAAAAATGTTTAAGATCTCGCAATCAGGCTCCCTTCCTGATGAAGTCAAGTTGGGGATGAAAGTTGTGAGTGAAGGGATTCTAATAGCCATTGTCGAGCTTCATAAAAGCCTCTGAAGTTAGTTCATGTGGGGAAGACTTCCTGAGCAGTGTAACTTTGTTTGAGCTTGATTATGCAATGGTTGCCTCCCAGATACATTCCTCAAGAGTTGAATTAGCCTGCTAGTTTTCTTGACATCAGTCACTCATTTAGATGTCTTTGAAGAGTTTCATCGTTCTTCATCATGTCGTTTTGTTTTTTTCAGTTAATTTTATTTCATATAGTTGATGCTCAACGTAATGCTTATAAACTAATTTCAGCCATTCTGTTATGTAGCCGGATATGTCAATGGCTCAGAAGATGTACGAGCAAATGGTTGCTCTGCAAGTGCTTGACAGTGTATTTTACAATGCCCAAAGGCAAGGAAGATTTGGTTTTTATGCTACGTGTACGGGAGAGGAAGCACTGAACATCGCCTGTGCTGCTGCCCTGCGTGACAACGACTCGGTGTTTCCCCAGGTAATAGAATTGAAATATTTGATGGTATTGGACAGTGAGAATTATGTATGTGTTCAGGATTTCTAGGATTTGGTGTCCCCGCAGTACCTACTGGTGGCAAATATGGATGCGCTACTTGTGAAATTCTACAATTCTTGCTTAAGTAGACCTTTGCTGCTTGCCAGTGTATGTAGTAGTTCTACTTTGTTGAGCTTTAAATAGTGGATTGGACCCCTGAGAGCCAATGTGTGCGAGAACTTGTCATGTGTTTACCTTGCCATGGAACAAAGTATTGAAACACAAGCTGGTTCATGGCAGTATCGTGAACCTGGTGTGTTGTTATGGCGAGGCTACAGGCTGCAAGAGTTTGCTGACCATTGTATTGGTAACTATCAAGGTCACGGCAAGGGTCGACAGATGTCCATACACTACGGGTCAAACAAGCTCCACTATTTTACAGTATCTTCCGTTTTAGCGTATGTACTCTTCTCTTTAACCTCGTGGTTTATTTCGAACCAGCTATCTCACACTTTCGCAATGATAGATTTTTTGAGTATAGAGCATCTTAGCCTCCCACATATGAAGACCCTTATTCACACAAAAGCCGCAATCGGCAGAACTCAAATCCCACATGCAGTTGGAGCTGCGTACTCCTTGAAGATGGAGAACAAACAACGATGCAGCGTGACTTTTTTCGGAGAAGGTGCCGCAAGTGAGGTAGCGACCTCTGCCCGTCGGAAAGTTTTCTATGCTGAATTTGAAGCTAAATGATGAGATCTTCTTAAGGCATGAGGATCTTTTCAGCAATGATTGCTTCGCCAGATAATTGTATGGTTGTGTTTTGGGAGTGGAAAACCTTGTTGGGAACGGAATTGGAAATGAAAGGTGATGATAGAATACCTGATGTGTGAAATGATACCGAGATTCTTGTGGCTTGAAGCATTGTACTTGCCGTCGTTCTGACTAGTTTTTACTGGGTCCTGAGACTAGCACTGTGAATTGCGACTGCATATAGGGTGACTTCCATGGAGCTATAAACTTCGCTGCAGTTTTGGAGGTGCCTATACTCTTCATCTGCCGCAACAATGGCTGGGCAATCAGCACTCCTGCTTCTCAGCAGTATCGAGGTGAGCCCTATTTTCTTTCTTATCATTCTAAGTTCTAAAATGCATTGTTAGTTTAGTACATCATTTGCATTTAGCCGATCTTATGGTTCGTACTACTATTCAGATGGAACGTTTACTTAGTGTGTGCGGCACTTCTCTCCTCGTCTTCAATTCTAAATGTCACAGAAGATGGGGTCTTGATTTAGGAAACAATGCTGCTCTTTTCCGTCGATTTCAAACCATTAGGTCGATATGGATAGATTGTTTACATCTCTGACTGAGAAAAGCCCTTTTGAATGTCATTCCCCGCAGCAACGTTTAGGCTGCACATGCCTATCCAATGCATATCACACAGTGGGAAGCTATAAGTGATTTACAGAGATTTATGTTTAGTGCCGTAGGCTTAGTAGGTCGTGCGATCATGATGAGTGATTTATAGTTTTTCCTTGCTTTTATCGTTCAGGAGACGGCATTGCTGGCAGGGGTCAGGCGTATGGGGTTAAGAGTATTAGGGTTGATGGAAACGACGCCCTAGCAGTATTTTCAGCTGTGAAAGCTGCTCGACAGCTTGCCGTTGAAAATAATCAGCCTGTTCTTCTTGAGGTATTATTGGAGGTGTTTAAGTCCAGGATTTTTCTTCACTTTAGTTGAAGTGTGGCTACTAACGGAATACTGTCTTGTTGCAGCTCATGACATACCGGGTAGGTCACCATTCAACTTCTGATGATTCAGCTAAATATCGTGAGGTTGCTGAGATTCGCTACTGGAGCGAACGGCGGGATGGAGTTGCCCGCTTCCGAAAGTGGATAGAATCAAAGGGGTGGTGGGATGGGACGGTTGATGAACAGCTTCGAAAAGACCTTCGTACCGAGGTACAGCACCGTAGGCAATATATCGTCACTGCAGGAATAAGTTTGTTTTGGTGCGTCCGTAGTTTGTATTTATCAGATATAACCTGCTTGCTGCTCAGGGTTTTTATTATGTGGGTATTATTATCTGAAATGCCATCTTTTCGAGGGTAGTCATGATTAAACAACGTAATTATTTCGATAATTGCGTTGTTTAGTAATGACTACCCTTTAATAGGCCGCTGACAGTCCTTTACTGACTTGTGCAAACGACGACAGGTCATTGCATGTTTGGCTGCCGCAGAAGCCAAAGAGAAGCCTCCTTTGTCAGACCTTTTCAGTGACGTCTACGACTCTCTTCCCAAAAGCCTGGAGGAGCAGGAGAAGCTAGTACGGCAGGCTGTTCAGAATTGCCCCCAGATGTACCCGGCGGATATACCTCTATAAAGTCCGGCCTGTCTAGTAATTGTTGAAAGCAGTTCCCGTGTGGATCAATGTATCAAGCTTAAGCCTCCTGCGACTGCAGAATTACGCGAATATTGTTTGCTGAAGGCCGACTGGAAGGTGGAAAGTTTTACTCAATTGAAACTCCTGAAGCAGTAGAGATCTATGTACAGTATCTTTCCAAGTTTATGGGGCCATATACAGGAGCAGCGTTTTGCTTGGAAACGTTCGGGAGGTGAAAGCTGGCATAATCATTCTCCTTTGGTGAATAAGCTCGACTAGACTCATCTAGAGGGTTTTCGCTATTGCAACATGTAAATATATCAATGAATACCTTGAAAGAGCTCATCAAGCTGCCAGATGTTTGAGAATCTGTCGAATGTCCCCTCTTCTGAATGGATGATTTAAGTACTCACGCTGTACTCCTCTATCTAGCAAGTTTCAAAGGTGTGGACTACAGTGTGTGATGGGTTCGTGCATGGTAGAATATGGTGCATGGTGCAGGGTAGAATATGCGAGAGAGGCACGCCCACCATGCCCGAAGATAAAATTCAATTCCGAAGTGAGCGCAAAGGAGGTGTACACATGTGCTTCAGCAGCTACCTTCACTGCAAGCAATCCATCGTGGCACATAGTACCGAGATGTTTTCAATAAGCTGTTGGGGACGAGGACAGATCTTTACTTATTTACAGAATCATCGAGAAATATCACAGATTGTATCGCTTGGCGATTGGGCAGGCACGCGAACATTTAAGGCTGGCCTCAAATGGGCTATAGCAGCTTGTATAGTTTTCGGTTGCCGTTCAGGTCGCTGGCCTAAACAGAAAAAAGTTGTCGATATATTTCAGGCTGACCCAAATCGTTCTTCAGGCTACAACAACGGCACCCAAGTATCGTGTCTCAACCCTTCGCCCCTCCGAGATGTTTCAACAATTCGGTGTTATCGATCAGCATTTCATTTGGAAGCAGTACGTCCGCAGAGACAAGAGTCTGCATCTTCCTGAGGAATCAAACTTCATGAGCAATTACCATTGCGGATGGAGGTACTCCAATCCAGGGTTCCTGAGAAGGCGTTTCCTTCGCATCTTCCGAAAGGGATGACCACAACACAGGGAATTGCAGTCCGTCTGAGAGTGCTGGTTACCAAAATCGGTTGGCTGCCTTTCTGCTCGAAGCATCAGCTCCCTCTCAAGCTCTCTACTACTGAGTACACAAGGTCTGCAAAATGAGGATGAAATGTGCCCACTCTGTCAGAGCAATGCAGGACTCCTTACGGTCCATGTGGGGCGAATTTCTGCCACCGCTAACACATATCTCTGTGCAGAGCTAGGCTGGGAAAGCAGGCGAAATCTGGGAAGGGAGCACGGAAAGATCTAGGGTCAAAATTTCGAGACGACCGCAAAGGTGCCGAGTCGAGCCCTGCTCCAAGGCTTCCACTTTTGATCCGTGCAGTGGAACTCCATGTCTTGCTGGTTGTCGTCGTGGTGATTGAGTTCGCTACCTACGTGCCCTACTTAGCTCTAAATCACCCGAACTTTGATTTCCTTCACCACTTGGTTCGACCTCGACACCAAGTCAATCAGAGCCCAGATGTCAGGAACTCAGGAAGTATTCTGAAATCTGTTCAGCCTGAAGGCGCAGAATCGCTTCGCAGGTGCATGTCCAATTAATCGAACATGCTCGCGGGCGATGTGATGCACAACCTTGTGAACTGGGAATCGTCGAGAATTGGATCTAATTTCCTCGTCTCCTCGCAGGACTGGAGGCTCTAGATCTGGGAGGACTTCTGGATTGAGGATTGGCGGGTTTATAAGGTCGTGGCTTGCTGTACGCTATGGAGTCGATTCTTTCGTCAGGGTAAGCATCGTAAGGATAAACGGGGATGATGTCATTCTCCTCGTCATCGGAGGTGTATATGGTGTTGCTGAACATAATTGCATCTTCATCCGATTGGAGTTGATCATCTCCAGGGGACTGGTCCGCATGACGAGGAGAAGACATCATTCGAGATAAGCATCCCTGACGCGGTGCAGGTTCTATCTCTTCATCGTCCTCGTGATACTTCTTGCTTTGAAAGGGAAGGCAGTTTGCCATCACCCCTGGGACATCGTCCTCTGGATCCCAAGTCTCCTCGGGTCCACTCTCACCTGGCCCCAGGACCATGCCCGCCAGTCTCTTGCCCCAAGGCTTATCCTCCTCCAAATCTGCAGGCGGCTCTTCTTGGGCCCGACAGTGCCGGCAGCCGAGCAAGCCGAGCGACAAGATGAGGAAGGAACCACAGAGAACAACGATGAGGATGATTTTGCCAGTTCTGGTTAGGAGTGCGCGTTTGTGGCCGGGCTCAATGTCATCGACACTGAAGGACCAAGAGTAGATGTAGTGCAGTTGGTTGTAGCCGTAATGGGTGCCGGCACTGAATCCCACCCACATGTCTTGCTCCATCACCTCTCGCGTGGCGAAGGGTAGGACGATCAGAGCTTTCTCGGGTTTGGATCGGTTGGACGTGCCGATTTGAATGCGCACCTCCAGTAATTCTTGAGGAGCGCTGTAGTCGATCCAGGCAGTGATCGGCCTGCCATTGTTGAGGCTGATGCCCACACTGTGAGCACTGACTTGCGCTTTGGACACAGGGTCGTCCAAATCCACCCCCACGTGATTGGAATCGATGTCGAACAACTCGTGGTTTTTGAACGAGTCGAACTCGATCGCTAGAGTCGCGTGCTTCCTCCGCCCATGGTGGAAGAAGCCGAAATTGCCCCACGAATCCCCGTTGCCTTTCGGCTGCGAGGTGATTACGAATACGATGCCGTCTCCGGTGTCGGACGGGTACACTGGTTTCATGACGAGGGTGAAGGAGGTTCTGAAGGAAGCGGTGGAGTATGCACCTACGAAACGCAGCGGCTGCTTGTAGAAAACACTACCTTTCACGTCGGCCTTGGAGTTTCTATTCGTGTTCTCGTAGCTTTCCGCACCCGGCGTGAGCTCCAGCACATTGTTCCTTAGCGTCATGTTGCCAATCCTTGCCTTAGCCTCGAAATTTAGTTCCTCCTCTCGGCTTTGTGTGAATTCGGCGAAAGAGAAGGAAATCTGCGGCAGTGGTTTTATCGTCTTGTCCATCGCCGCCTGGGTCAAGCGCACAAAGCTCAATAGCGCCAGGACGAGGAGAAACCTCATGGGTGACTCCGCCAGCCGCACGACACGCGCAGAGGGCTTGAAACGCTTAATATCCCGACGTTCGAGCGGGTGAAGAACATGGCGAGCACCCTTTTCTTCGACAAAATTAATCCACAGCTTCCTCCGAGGCATGGCCGGCTTCGGGTCCGTCACGAAGCTCTGCCTGGAGTTCAGAACCCGGACGTAAATCCCATTTGGCTGCGAACAGATGCAAGCGCTTTAGGGTTCGGCGTGACCGTCGGGAAGAGTACACGAGGTGACATTCAGGTCGGAGAGAGTTGCAATGTGTGCGTTCGACTGACAGCCGTCGACTCCGTTCTCGAGGGAAATCACTTCTGAGTGTCATTCGTGAGAAACGAGAACGTTCTGAAGACGTGCGGAATCGCCCCAGCTCCGACCAAGCGTCGTTTCTTGGATGCTTGAAGAACGCAGGATTTGGCACGCACCCTTGGGAACGAGGTTTGCAGCATCCTCCACAGGACAAAGCAACTTTTTTCGTCTAATCAGACGGCAGCGGAAAACGAGAGACGAGAGCGCGAGCCAAAGGATCACGCCGACTTATTTCTTCACAGATTGCTGCTCTCGCTCTCCACATGAAGAGGAGGGAACAAGAAGCGAAACACATGGAAAAACCAGAGAAGTAACAACGAGAAACAATGGGAAAACAACGAAAGTGGATTCTAGGAGAAGGGATTAGCGTCAGCGTCTAGTGAACCATATCCACAGCCTTGCTCCTTTCTGGCGCAATCTCGTAGTTGGCTTGTGGGATCGTTAGCGTCTGCGTCCGATCTCAATTCCGCAAATTTCCTGGCCTCTGCCCTGTGGATGCGCCAACTGTTTATCGATCAGAAAGCTCAGCCCAATGGAGTAGAGTCCTTGCGCACTCTGCCCTCGAAGCTGCCGTGGTTGCGGGAAGAGACTCAGAGGCTGCTTGAGTGGACCCTTCTGTCAGAAGACGGTTCTAATCTACCGCTCGAGTGTTGGTATGAAAGGACTGAGTTTGATGAGGGTCCTCCTGGCCAAGGCGCATGCTCAGCTCAAGGCCTGTTGATTTAGCTCAGAAGTTCGTCCTAATGACCAAACGTCACAAGCATAAACTTCGTGAGTGGAATGTAAGTGCCACCGTAAGAACGACGCCTTGCCCAAAGGGCCCAAAGGGAATTCTCAATGCTATCTTTCCTGCAAGTTGAAGGAAGGCTCCTGATTAAGTCGCATGATCAAGTAGAGATCTACGAGACTGTCAAAGCAGCTGTTGGTCGTGAGAAATTGATAGTTGTGTTAGAAAGGAACACTTTTCGAGAGTAGGTATTCTGTGCTGTCCTCTGCTGGTCTGAGTCTTCTTTATTATGTATGGTTGTGCGTATTACAGAAAGCCTACTCCCTGTTAATATCATGGGGTAAAATAGATCAGTGCGCAAATCCTCATTTGTTTCATAAGATCCTGGTGCACCCGCCACTGCTGAAACTGAGGTGAACGTCCATCCTTCAAACTTGCTGCGGTCTGAAGAGACTGACGACCAGGTATATGACCTCTACCATAAACGAGAGAAATCACTTCTATCACTTCCTTCTGTCAAGAAAGTCCTATGTACTCTTCTGTCTCTCAATCTCCCTTTCATTTATTCTTCAGCTTGATCACATGAAAAAAATATGCTTCTGTTATAGTACATTTGGATTCCGTCACTGAGCAAGTTTGAAACCTTTGGTGTATATCAGCAATTTGAGCCAAAAATGTGATACCTAGTTCTAGATGACATTAAATGTGAAGTTGTCGAACTAATTACCAAAATCCCATGGTCAGCGTGATTAGTTTCTGGGCTGTATCTTGTCATGAGTTCTAGGTCTCTGTAGATCCCACGAAGCTACGATGATCCTACACGATAGCCCTTCTCCTTTCTTGACTCCGTAATGAGTTATGATTTATAACTCATTATTGATCATATTTGATGGTATCATAACTTATGATACCATCAAATATAGGAGGAGAGGACAATGCGGATTCTGAAAGATGGATCGAGGTGCTTTCCTTTACATTGGTGGGTGATAGGTCGAATGATCGAAGGCAATTGTAGGCTTTTATCTTCAAATGTAGTCCTACTCGGAGAATGTGTGCGGGATGACTAAGATCCAACATCAGTAAACATGGTGTTATTCGTCATATATTATGACCTTTCTCCTTAGGCAATACTGGAGTCTCAGAGGGTATTTAGAAAATGCTTCAGTGTCCGTATCAAGGTCTACAGTTGTCATATTGGAAAATCTCTTCTTGAGAAAGAAAGCTTAACAATCGTAGAAGCTCTTGCCCCTGCAGTCCTGCATCATACCATTGATCTCGTTTATATTTAGGAGCTGTTAACTACCCACTTGTTCCAAATAACAAAATGGATATGCAGACCTTTCGTTTATTACAGTTATCTTTCGTGGTAAGGCTTACCAAAAATCGAGGTGGCATTTCAGATTGCACCGACTCTAGGCAAGGCCAGGGTAGCACCTGAGTACCATGCACGACCGATGACATTTTTAAGTGCCTTGCTTTCTCTTCTTAGAGACTTGGTAGCTTCAGAGGTGCACTTAGTGCAGTAAACCATTGTCGAATGAGAGATCCTGTACTAGTAATAAAACTGGTTGCCTTTGTTTCACATTTAAACACTATTGAATGTGCTGTTTTGCTGCAATTTGACTAGTCTGAGCTGCGTTTCTTCCACCAGGAAAACTTAGAGCTACCAGCGAAAGGACCTGCAGTTACAATTAACAATGTAAGTCGTAAAAACTGATGAACTGACATTATTTTCCGATGTAAATAGCATGGTAGTGAAGGGTCTAGAAGTATATACAGAATCTTTTTTGGTCGGGCAATCTCTAAACGTCACTGGGCAACTTGCTTAGTAATTTTTGGCTTTGCCGTCGATGTAACAGCTTTCACCTGAAATAATACAATGACAGAGTGAACACCGCGAATTTTTTTGTTTACTATGCCCTGGTTTCTTTCAAAATTTGAGTAATCCCTGAAATTCTAATTCTTTCTTCTTCTAAGTTTTTCGCTTGATACAAACGTCCATACCATCAGATTCTTACAAAATGAGTGGCCTTTTTGCAAATGATTCCTCCTGGTCTTTGGTGTCAATCTTCTCTGTCGTTCGAAACTGCTTTATGGAACTGAAGTTCCAGTTTCTTCAGCACACCACCGAGCGTAATGAATATTTCCTGAATCGAGTCCCACGAAGATAATTCTGCACTGGTAACAATGGTGTCCAGTATAAAATTCTTGCAACCCGCTAAAAGTGTGTATTGAGATAAGTCAGGTGTGTGCTTGGACAGAGCGGCGAATATTTGTAATTTGCAAGGTTCAGATTTATATGCTGAAATGAACGGACGAGTAGGGTTTGAAGTCCAACTAGAATCTGAGGACACATCAGTCCATAAGGACAAGGAGAAGGCTTGAACCCCACCTTCCCGGAGTGGGGGAAGTTCGAACGGCTGGTTTGCTTAGTCTTTCTGTAAGTTGAGATGAAAACTATAGAAAGAAGGTTATAGTAACTGCCCCCTTCTACCAAGTGAGGGGTTTGTTGACCAGTACGCAGGGTGACCTGGGAGTATCGTTGATGACTCTAGGAGCTGAGGAATGTAGAGTGGAGAACCGGCAAATTGATGCCCATCTTGAGTGTTCTTGGCAGTCGCAACAACAGATATTGGATCATGGCTGATAGAATATCGGCTGAAAATCAAACTACAATTACTGGTTTTTTACTGTTGTTCTCTGCGATCAGAGCTTCCTTAGAAGCGTTCTATGTTCTTGTATACGAGTCAACTGAAGTACATCCTGTAGAGGACTTAAGTACTCCATTTTGAGCTCTAGGCCAATTCCAGACATTCATAAGAGCAAAGTACACTGACAAATTTTGTTTCTGTTTTGTGATTTTTATGGAATGTATGAAAGGTGCCATAAGAGACATAATTGAAGGTTTGGGGTACCTGATTCGAGAAGCTCTGCCCTGATTTGTAAATTATCTGTTTATCACAATGTTTCATACTATGCTTCAATGGATGTCTGTTCCAAGACATACATCGCCTTGTGTGAAGTGTTCAATGGATGTTGACGGCGTTCCATCTTCTCAACTTTTATGTCGCTTAGTCCTGGTTGCTTGCGATGCAGGAGAATTCTCGTCGGAGGATCCTGCCCCTGAGGCAGGACTAGACGTAGACGATAGAGGTGTAGGCGACTCCACTATCGTCTCTAGTGGAGGTAGAGGAGGAAATACTGGTTGGCCCGGTCCTCTTTTGAATGGTGCTGTAGAAACTGGGGATGTTGAAAAGGTTGTAGACGCCCCGGACTTGCTTTCAGAACTCTTCGCAACCTCAGTCTTTTCTTGTGGGGCTACGTTGCTCCAACTTTTGTTCGTTGGAGGAGTTGATTTTGAGATTCCTATAACTGGATCCGAGCCTGGAAAAGAGAGCAGCGAAGGTTCCCGTTGACTTGTTATAGAACTGGATGTTGTACTCATTCCGGTTGAAGATTCGTCAGATGATCTTTGCTCAATCATGCTCGTAGAATTAGCACTTCCCTGACTTGATTCTGAATGTGATGGTATCTTGCTGGGAGGAGTCGGTAGACTAACTCTGGGGACGACGTCCAAGCCTGGAATGTTGGTAGGTGTCCCAGTGGCCGGAGACACGGAAGGAAGTTCTGGTTGGGTTGAACTGGATCGGAGTTTTGCTTCTCTACTTGTTGGGCGTTTAACGGTGGAACCCATCCTACTCTGGCCGGAGGAACTCTCTGGTGTTTTCAGCTTATCGGTTGTAACCTCAGAACTAGGTTTAGTCCTGATGGAAGTAGGAGATGATGAGACGGTTGTTTTAGAGCAAGAAACTGGCAGGGTAGGCAAGTTCTGTGCTCCAGTGATGCCGGGACTTATGAAGGATGAACCCTGCCCTGCCTTGCTTGTGGACCTCTCCTGGACATTGATCTTGCCTTGAACAGGGACAGGGATCATGGTTTTCTTCGTGGAAAGTGTTGATAGCGAGCCTGTTTTTCCAATTTTCAAAGATGGACTAGAAACAGGCAAAGTTGGAGGAGATGAAGACTTGAGTTCTGGTTGGCTTGGTCTAGTTCTTGATTGTTTTTGGCTAGTGGAGGGGTTCGAGGAGAAAACTGAACCAGACCTGTCTGTATATGTCTGTGGAAGAACGCTCTCACCAGTGGACGAAGGCTGCCTAGACTGGCTTCCCGATCTCTCTGGAACTCCCGCTTTACCTTTGAAAGATTCGGGGGTGGTCGTTTTCTTACTAGAAGGCATGGATAACGAACCTCTTGGGTCGAGGTCCGATGTTGAAGGAGGGAGGGGCAAAACTTGCAGAGAAAGTTCTCGTTGGCTTGATTCAACTTTTGGTGGTCCTTCAACAGACTCGGGCAACTCGGAGGATGGAACCGTCCCAGATTTGGTCGTCGAACTCCCTGGAGGTTTAGTCTGACCTTTTGAAGACATGTGACTTGGTGCCATTGAAGGAGGGGTTGTTATCGCCGCTCTGGGGTGCATGTCCAAGGATGAAGATGGAACTGGCGTACCTGGGCTGGAGGATGTAGGAACTTTTGATTGGGTTGGTCTAACCTTGGATGGTGCACCAACAACATGGGCAGACTTAGAGGATGACACTTCCACAGTTTTGGTTGTAGGTTTCTCTCGAGGTTTGGCATTACCTTTAGAAGATTCAGCACTTGGGGAACCCCTTGTAGGAGGGGTAGATACAGAGACTCTTGTGTCGACATCTGAGGCTGGAGAAATAGGTGGAGAAGTAGGAAGGGTCGATTGGCTTGATCTAACTTTGGATGGTGCACCAACGACATGGGCCGACTTAGAGGAAGACACTTCCACAGTTTTGGTTGTAGGTTTCTCTCGAGGTTTGGCGTTACCTCTTGTAGATTCAGCACTTGAGGAACCGCGTGCGGGAGGGGTAGATACAGATACTCTTGGGTTGACATCTGAGGTTGGAGAATGGGGTGGAGAAGTCGGAAGGTTCGATTGGCTTGATCTAAACTTGGATGGTGCACCAACAACATGGGTTGACTTAGAAGATGACACTTCCACAGTTTTGGTGGTAGGTTTCTCTCGAGGTTTGGCGTTACCTCTGGTAGATTCAGCATTGGAGGAACCCTTTGCAGGAGGGGTAGATACAGAGGCTCTTGTGTCGACATTTGAGGTTGGAGAAAGGGGTGGAGAAGTCGGAAAGTTCGATTGACTTGATCTAACCTTGGATGGTGCATCAACAACATGGGCTGACTTAGAGGATGACACGTTCACACTTTTGGTCGTAGGTTTGTCTCGAGGCTTGGCAGTACCTCTGGTAGATTCAGCACTGGAGGAACCCTTTGCAGGAGGGGTAGATACAGAGGCTCTTGTGTCGACATCTGAGGTTGGAGAAAGGGGTGGGGAAGCTGTAGTTGTAGAAGGAGGCTTCGGTGGAGTTGATTTACTGCTTGTTGGTGCGTCAACACTCATGGATGAATTTATCTCAGATTTGGTTGACAATTTCTCTGGTTGTGTGGCCTTACTTTTGATAGATTGGAGACTGGGAGTTTTCTTGGCGGTAAGGGTCGATAACGAGGCAGTTGTTTCCAGATCTTCGGATGCTTTTCTAGCATGTGAAGGTGGGTCAGAGAAGGTACCCAGTGCATGGACGGTAGAAATAGTTCCTTTTCTTTGATCTTGGGATGTTGGTTTCTTCTGGGAGACTGCCGGGAGTGGTACGCTTTGAGCAGAGTCCTGGACTAGAGCTTTTGGCCCACGAGGAGGCGGCGGTAATGGAGGCCCACGAGGAGGAGGAGGACGCATTGGAGGTGGTCGACGAGGAAGGGGACCAGGAATGGGGAAGGGAGGATCTGGTTGAGGGATTGGGGAAGGAGGTGGTGGTGGACGGCGAGGTTGACGAGGTGGTTGAGGTGGTGGGATAGGTGGTGGTCGAAATGGTGGACCGGGTGGACCGCGAGGTTGACGAGGTGGAAAAGGTGGTGGTCGAAGTGGTGGACCAGGGGATTTATCTGAAGTGATTGGTCTCTCCTCATGCTGGAGAGTTGCAGTATCAAGAGTGTCGGACTGTCCATTATCAGGATCGACGTACGTCCACATGATTGATATAAGCTCTTCGAGAAGCGAGCGACAAAAGCTGTAGGTTGTAGAAGAATGGGACTCGAGCTTCTCTGCAGATGATTTGATCTTGTCGGTCGACTGAACTTGCTTGGTTTTGGGAGTAGAAGCAGTCTCGTACTCGACCTCAATAGCAGGAACAGCTTGAACTCTGGACTTGTTCTCTTCGACCTGCTCCAGGGAAGAAGTCGAAGGTGCGGAAGTAGGGCTGAAGTCAAGGTCGGATGCCGTTACACTGTCCATCCGCACCAGAGGCTCTTTTCTGGCCAATACAGGATCAAGTGAGGCTCTTGGTGCATTTTCCTGTGGCAAATTGGATGGAATCCCTTCATTTATCTCAGAGGATGGAGTGAGGCCGGTACCTGCCGGAAGTGACTCCTGCTCCGAGCTTAAAACTACCGCATCGGATTCTCTCTTGTTATCGGATCTCGGGGCTCTATCTGTAGAGGTAGTGGGATCCGTGGTCGAGGAGGTTAATTTTCGGCTCGTGTTTGAAGCCGTAGAAACAGATGTTCTAGCTTGGTCAGTAGTGGAAATTGTGTAATCCAGAGTAGTTGTGTGTCTCCTGGGTGGTTTTGGTACAGGAGGGAAAGGAATCTCCCCAGTCAGACACTGAGCGACTTGTTTTATGGATGGCCTTGCCAGTGGATCCGGGTCACAGCACAGCAGACCCAGCTTAGCTACCAAGGTCATCAATGGATCATCTTCTCCGTCCATAGTTTCCCCTCCTGTTGACACTGTGGGCCGATAAGTGCCATACACAACTAGTTTAGACATCAAGTCCAACAGGTGTTGAGCTTCAGGCTCCGCCGATTCTACAAATACTGGCCTTTCACACAAAATTTCCAGACTAACAATTCCGAAGGAATACAAGTCTGTCATCTGTGTCAGCTCCTGGGTGTTCCTAACCTCAGGAGCAACATATCCTGCGGTTCCTTTCTCTTCATCGCGGGCCATCAACCAGGCCAATCCAAAATCCCCCAGTAATGCTTCATCGTCACCCGCCAAGAAGATATTGGTGGACTTCACGTTCCTATGAGGAGTGTGATGTACCTCATGAAGGTATTCTAAGGCATCTGCTAGATTCTGAATTATTTTGAACCTCTCCACCCAAGGGAGAGTACCTGGGTTAAATACAACCCTACTCAAATTACCATTGGGGATCAGGTCGTAAACGAGGAAATACTCTCGTTTGTGCTTACACCACCCAAGCACGCTGACCAAATTAGGATGCTGCATACGATAAAGCATCGAGACTTCAGCTTTGAATTCACTCGTGCCCTGCTTCTGCACTCTAGTGAATTTCTTCACTGCAACTTGAACGCCGTTGGCAAGAACACCCCCATAGAACACCCCGTATCTACCTTCTCCTAATTGTAAGCTTTCGCTGAAGTTGTCTGTGGCTTCAGTCAATTCCTTGAAAGTGAAGCGTGGAGCTTCCGTTTCGTCTTCAACACCAGCTCTAGCTGCTTCTAGAAGCGTTGCGACTTGCTCGTGTAGAGGTGCTCTGGTACTGTCTACCGTACCTTCACTGTTTTCTTCAGCTTCAGCCGTGCCATCTGCGGGAGAAGCTTCCGCCACCTCCATGGAGTCCAGACCAGCGGTCTCCGTGATAAGGTCTCCACTGTAAGAACCATCTGCAGAGGGAACATCATACATAGAATTTGTAAACATAATGTCCCCAAATCCCATTGAACGGCGCTCTGCAGGCTTCTCAGTGCTCGCAGAGACGTCAGTCTCTGCGGGGATGTTCTCTTCAAGGTCAGGAGGAGTATCAACCCGTTCCACCGGCTGTTTCGTGTCAATAAGAAGACTCTCCTCTGGACTCAAGATGTCAGCAGGATCTGCAATCACAGCGCAGCCAAATTGAGCAAATCCTACACTAGCACCGCACAGCCCGGCGATTACCAGAAATGCTCCGACTGCCACCCCTATTAGTTTGCCCAACTCGACCGTCCTCTGAGCCCAGGTCGTGGAATTGCCTCCATTGGTGTCATTATATTCTGGTGCAAGTGGTGGTGGTGCAGGAGGCGGTGGAGGCAGTTGAGTTTCGATGAAGGTCTTGAAAGACCAGGAGTAGATGTGGCAAGCTTGCTCAGCGCCCTGATAGACTTGAGTACTGAAGCCCACGAACATTTTTTGGGACCAAGTTCCGGACAGATCGATAGGCAATTTCAGAAGCGGGTTGGAAGGTTTGATTCCTCCGGCTTCGTAGTAGCTCAATCTCACTTCCAGTATCTTGAGAATGTGATGGTAATCAATCCACGAAGTTATCAGCAGCCCACTGGCCAGCTTGATGCCAACAACGCCTGCATCTTGAGCCTGGAGTGAGTCAGCGTAGTTGACATTTACACCGACGTGATTGTCATTCATATCGAGCAGATAAGTGCTCAGAGAAGTATCATACTCCACAGCAATTATGGGGGTTGCCGTCTTGCCTGCGAGGGGGAAACATCCGAAGGTTCCATTTTCCAGCGGGACTAGAGAGGGACTGGCTGCCAGGAGGAAGACGAATCCGTCACCCGTCCGAAGCCTCATCGGTGATGAGAGGGAGAAGGTGAACGAGGTACTGAAGGAGTAGGTCTTATTGCTAATCGGATTTAGAAAATAGGCAGGCAGAGAGAAGAAAACCTGACCAGCGCAGGGACTCGTTTGGCATGTGACATCAGATGGATCTGAAAACCCCAGAGTTTTAGACACGGTGTCGAGTTCTGCTTTTCCTAGAAACCTGAAGGCAGTGAGATCGCTGGCATCGAATGATTGAAAGTCGAAGTGGAAAGGGTATTCCTGAGCTTTTATGCCGGGAATCGACCACCACGCCAAAGTCAAGATGGTCGCCAACACCATGAGAATCGTCATTCATTTTGGGATATCCGAAACCAGTCAAGTAAGCAAGCTGATCCAACGGGAAGAGTAGAGTCCTTGTTCCTTTCATGCTCTTGAAATTGAACACAGCCGGAAAAGTATGAGAGTCCATTCTTCCCGCTGGCTGCTGGTGCCCACGCGCTTCTAGTAAACGCTCGCCATCTTGCTCAATACTCCCTTCCGAAATGGATGCGGTCACCCTTCTCTGTAGCCGGTGGTCCCCTAACTGCCCGAGCTCCTGCCTGCTTGGAATCTGGTGATAAAACAGCAGTTAGAGGACACCACACCGGTTGACAAGCAGCTCAGCATGCTTGTGCAAGCAATCCTGCCTCGATGCTGCATAAACCATAGAGCACTCCGTGGTACTCTGATGCTTCCAACCCAGTGAATGACGAAATTCAGGGGAAAGCTCGACGTAGTATATAGCTCACGGATTCGCAATCCCGTGATGGTAGTCGCAAAAGACGAGCATGCTTCTACTGCCAGGCTCAGATGAAATCTTTTCCAAGAAAGAACGCTCTTCCAGCAGAAGCCTAGAGCAACCATGGGAAAGACTGGAGCATCAGGCATTCATCAGCTGAATTTGGACAAAATCGTTTGTTGAGACAGAAGTGCTAGCAATCAAGCCTTCGGTTGTTCGAAGGCAAAAACCTATGGTACCACTGTTTGTGCTCAGGTGTGAACTCTCTGTAGCTGGTTTTTAAAGATTGTTTAAGTAGTGTTCCGCGCATGGATCTGTTCTGATCTTGGAAGACTTCTTGTTCGATCCTTTCCGGCCGTTATTCAAGCACCATATCCTCAAGCTCGAATGCCAGCTTCTCGTCACATATCGTCAAGATGTACGCGACGGGCTACGACGAGAAGGGATAACTCTTTTAAGTAGAGTGATGCTGATCAGCTTGTGAGAACCATTGTCTTATAAACTTGTGGTTGAACTCGGGAGGTACGCATACCAGTGGCAAGCCTTCAGTATACTGTGGTACTGAATTCCGTTCACTTCCGAGTCATGTACATTAACAAATCGCTGGACGGCAAACATCTCTGGAAGGTTTTTCACAAATTAGGCTCTTACAAGAATCAGAAATTCAGGACTTCATGATCGAGAGAAACCGAGGATGCCCATATCATTGTACGTGGAAGAAGCCGCTGTCAACCCAATAAGGGCAGCAGGACTTGAGTGCTTATCATCATACCGGGAAGGAGTGCCTCAGACGACCATATGAGCTACTGAGAAGATAGTCGGTAGCCCCTGGGTAGGAAAATGTGGCGTTGTTCGGAGCCATAGAAAGGACATTGTAAGTCTTGTTTTGGATTAAGACTAAATGCTGATATTCAAGCTAGGATTTGTTTCCCGAGTGGAATGAATATTTCCGAAGTACAAGCATCAACTCGAATGTTATCGCACAGAGCCATGCACAAATTGAAGTAAAGTATACAGTATTGAGTGGAATCCTATGCGCTCTATTAAGTTGACGACCATGTCAGAACTTTAAGTTTGTTTCCTTGTGGAGAAATGTGGATGCTTTTACCTCTCGCTTCTTGGATTTGCTGGGAATGTCTGTCGTATCCAGATGAGTCGCCTGCAGCCTAATCAGAAGAATCTCCGAGAGCGCGACGTGCAAAGAGAATTAGAAACCACCAGGATTTAGACTGCATCGCAAACTCATCAAACTCGAGCTTGAGCCAGGAGCAAATTGGTTCAGTGCGAAGTACAGGTTACATGTATAAATTTGTCACGAGAAGAAGACATTGCAATCGCGTCATTCCATGAATGTATTTGAGAAGAGCGCTCTCTCTTTTTCTGTTTGTTACGAGAGATATCTTTCTTGATTGGCTTGGATGAACGACTGTGTCGTGTATTTCTAGGCCGTCAGTTGCGCAGCGATTGTGAGAAGCACGTCCTGAAGACCGTGGACAGACATCGCCCGGCTTCAAAGCGAAACGAGAATCACTAAATAGTGAAGAAAGTGCGACTGGCAAGAATCTCCTTTCAGGATGACACCCAATCAGCTCCCATTCACGTGGCAGCTCCGGGAAATCTTGTAACATCTATACTCTAACCGTTTCATGGTCACCGATCTTAAGCGCCATGCAAGGCGAGTGCGAGTGTGGGTGCATAATGAGTCCACAGAGAACGTAAATTTACAACAAGGGACTCTTGCGGTAAATGTGGGTGGGGCGCGCAACGGAGCCTGCGTCAACGACTGTTTAATGTGTTTAATGTTTGCGCGAGCTCAGTTTCAATAAAAAAAATCAATATTATAATTCATCGATCTTGGACTCAATAACGAATCCCAAATTTGTGTATGTCTCAAGTCTTTGGCTCATTGTTACCAGTCGACCCTTGAAATTTCCTTCGAACCAGTGGGCTAATTCTAGAGCAACACACGCATGACGTGCATAGAAATTGTTCGCATGTATGAGCAGATACCACTCCTGAATATCATTTTAGACACAGAAGATCTTCCAACAAGGTGACAGGAAAAGCTCGATTCTGGAGCCTGGAGGTGGGCAATGTTCACTCTTGGGAGCAGTACAACTGAAACTTGCCCTCTTGTCGCTTCTGCAGGGAATGCAGCACCATGCCAGGTGCTTTTCCCTCGTAGCTCTCGAACCAGAGGAGTTCGTTCTCGAAGATTTCTTGCATGCGGTGCACGATCGGCAAGCCAGAATCCGAACCTCCTGATATCAGGCCAAGCAATCAGCACCCACTAAACGCGCCTGTCGCCCTGCCTGCCTGGCCACACGTACTGGCGATGAAACGTGACAGTTAAAGCAACCTAGAGTAAAGAAGGCCCCGTGGCTCGAACCATCGACATTGATGGCTACTGCTGATCAGGTTCTGGTTCAAGCTCGGTCAGCTTTGTAGGAAGTCCGTAGGATAGTTCAATTAATCAGAAGCCAAACTGGCTCGTTTTCCTTGGAATATCAGATTCTACTGACTTGAGATAAACACTAGAGCTGATCATTGATGGTTCAAGCTCGGTCATCTCTGTAGGAAATCTGGACTATTGTTCAATTAATTAGAAGCAAAATTGGCTCGTCTTCCTTGGAATATCAGATACTATTGACTCGAGATAAAGACTAGAGCTGATCATTGATGGTTCAAGCTTGGCCAACTCTGTAGGAAATCTGGAGGATTGTTCAATTAATCAGAAGCCAAATTGGCTCGTCGTCTTTGGATGGCCAGATCTTAATGACTCGAGATAAAGGCTGGAAGCGGCGATCGGTTGCAGGTTCAAGCTGGGTCAGCTGAGAAGGTAGTATGTGGGATTCTGTCACGCTTAGCTTGAGCTGGTAGGCTCGCTCTGGGGGCCGGCCAGTTGCGAATGGTAAAGAATTCGAAGATTACAGCGGGACTGTTGCAGGGCGTCTGCCAAGCAGCAGTGACGGTATCACCGACGCCAAGAGGATCGTCCTTCTGGATTACAGATGCGCCCTGGTGGTCGACCCAGCTGGTGACTGGCCCACGGAAGGGCGCTGTGAGTAAATGAAGAACAAGGAGAAGAGAAGAGAAGAGAAGGAGAAGAAGATGCTGGACACGACGCCAGTGGAACAGTGGGCTCGAAGATTGCAACTACTTTCCAAAAGAACAAAATCTGCGATCGTCAACAACAACAACACCAACGACTGTGAATAGAGAAGAGGAGCAGGGGCGCATTTCGACACAGAATCGCGGGAACAGTTTGTAACGACACATGATTGCTAGCGAGGAGAGGAGAGAGGTCGGTTTCCGGCTAGTTTCGAGAGCAAGCGTGGCATTCTTAGCCTCGCACAGGCCGATCTGCCCCTTTGCCTGCGGCCGTGGGTCTCTCGGGGAGAATGTAGGGACAGCAGAAATGCGATGTGGCGAAAAGCGCAGCTCCGATTCCGATTCCTCCAGGCCAGGGCCACCCTCATCCCTTAACCATGATCCGGGCTCGACACGCAAACCCATCGCTCGACACCATCGAGCTTCTGTACTCGTACCTTTCCTGTCTGCAGTTGCTCTGAGCCCAACTCCCAGCACTGCAAACCGAGGGATTCCTCGAATGAACAGAGCTCGTGTGGCCTCAAGGGCACTGTATAAATTCATACTCCCGGTTGCATCTGTGCATCTTGCACACAGCCATGGCCATGTCCTGGGGATTCGAACCGGATAGAATATCATGTCGCAAAGTCCACCACAAAGTCCACTCTGGGCCGAGGGAATATGCAGTTCCAGCTTTGTGGGAGTGTATTTTAGGGCGCGAGTGAATGTTACTATATAATATAATACTCTTACAATACTCCAGGTTTGTTGGAGGATCGCGTTCAGATCTTCTTTTCCACGCACTGTTCTGCCCACTGACGAGTCGCGCACAGTTCCGTGAGGAAGGTGAAATGCTCTGATTTCAGAGCTTGCGGTCCATGGTCCATGATGATGACGGGTCCCTAGTCGATAGGCCAACAGTCTGACCGAGTCAGTGAGCTCCACAGGCACGAAAATGTTTTAAACACTTGTGGAACGAGCGAGCGGGCTCCGGATATCTTGGGACGAGGGTTACCTCTGCATAGGGAGAGGACGACGAAAAGGCAACCAAAAAAAAGATGAATTCATCATCATCATCACGACGGGAAACTTTTCATAGTTCCAGGGAACTGCGACACCTTTCGCATCGAGGTCGATCCTCGACGTCCTACGATGTGGGTTTGACGCTCGAGATTTGCATTGCCCCAGATACTTTTGTTCCAGGGTTTCTTCACACTGAATCCTTTCTCACTGTGTCGTGGTGCTCGACCATGATTCGAGGAGACAAGGTTGATGACCGATTCTCGAAAAGGTGCCTCTGATTCTCCCCATCTCTCGATCTCACAAGCTCGTCGGCCCTCCCATTTCTGCAGACTTTTATCTCCTAGATGCAGTAGATATGCACATCGACATAGAGGATCAAATCTTTCCATCCTGCAGACTTTATGACTTCAGTTTATTCCCTTCCTGTTCAGAGGAAAGCAACGAGCCCAAAGGTTTTGGAGTTTCTTCCGCTCGTAGCTGCTCCGGTGACGAAATTCTAGAGAAAAGTACCATCGGAAAAATCAGAGCTCAGGCACGCTGCTGGAAAAGGTCGAAGCTGTGTTTCCTTTTCTGAAGTTCCTGACTAGCGGGAGCTTCAGCCCTTTGATTCCCAAATGTCCTTTTTCGCTGAGGTGAGCGAGAGCCAAAATCTATGCAGGTGGCCATGGAAGTGGCCGTCTGGCGGGTGATATTTTTGAACTCGGTGCTCTCGAGCTCATTCGACCATTTCTGAAGTGGTGGGCAAGGGAGGGGACTGCCTCCACTTTGTCCACGTGACTGCGTCGTTCTTCTAGTCTTAAGGGGCCCACTTCATATTTCACAACAAACAATCAGCACAACGAGGTCCATGGAGTAGCCCTCATAGCTATCTGTTCCATTCACTCGACATTTCATATGATATTAAAAAAATTAAGATATCCTCCTGGAGACCGTTATTGTCTGGATGATCCCTCTCATATTTTGCTACTCGATCGTGGAGCAAAAAGATAAAGGCTCCATTTTGACTTCGAATGTTCTTCCACACCTGCTAGCGACTGTCCACGAAAGTCGGTTTTAACATGAGCCGTCGAATAGGCGGAGAACTTCGATCTGATTCTTGCCAATGCGTCATATAATTTATTGGTCACGCGCCTCAGACCAGCTCTGTGCTTCATTAAAGCAAACATTTCAGCCTTGGGTCTCCATCACGCTACGCAGTATGTTCTGTGATGACACATATGTCTCTTGTATGTCACTTGCTGCCTTAGTGGAAATTCTCAAGTTTGTCCAGAAGACCAACTGTATTGAAGGGCACCTCCTCTAAGGCTTGTTGCATATGGTCGCATTGTCTTTATCTCATTTGTGCTCAGCGATGGTCAAAAATTTCAGCGTACAGTACTCGATCACTTCATCACTGCCGTTAGAACTTGACTTTGCAGCTCACGTCCTTCCATTCCTTCAAGGATTTGTAACTACATCGAAGTCAACCTTATCCGCACCCGAGCAGTGACCAGATACAGAGTCTGGTCCAAATTCTTAACCGAAGGGGCCAACCGATACTACTAAACTTGATCAGGTTCAATGTACCTCACGACGGAATGTAACTTCAGATTAAACTGCAGCTGTGCCTTAGTAAGACCAAATTCCATGTATTCCATTATGCAGCATGTTCATATTGTGCGGTCGATGAGAGTGTGAATTAGGACCAGATTCACTGTCTTCTCCTTAAGTCCAAGGCTCAGCTGCAAATCTTTTTCAGCTCAAGGTAGAACTTAAGGAATAATAACGTAGGCCACAGAGACCGACTAAAGTTGGGAATATGTCAGAAATCCAAATATTATGATCTTTCTGCTTCGCGAACCACCGACATGTTTGCTCGCTCTATCCATGGTTCCCTTACATTTCCTAATTCGAAGTTCTTCGAGAATCTAATACCGTGATTTCAACAATCCCAATCGTGCATCATCACCCTGCAAGGAATATCAACATTTCTCTGCATGTGCCAGCGCTACTTCAACCAAGAGGACGGCACTTCGCGTGCAGCTGATACGAAACGAGATCCAAGACAGTATCGAGGCAAAGCAGACAAACAAACGAATCTGTTTGTGACCGCATAATACTCTTCATATCTTCAATGGTCGCAGGATTCGTGTCAGGGTACCCAATACACAAGACGAGAGCAAGCAAGCAAGAAGGCCAGTGAGGAAGAGCCGCAGCCTTCGCTTCTCGATTAATCATGTTGCAGTTATTCGGATGATGTTTAGAGGCTGAGTTTTATATTGTACAGAGCAATATAATTTGTTTGAAATGCCTGTTATCCAGTTTGTTCTTAGATTTTCAGACGCTTGCTCTGCCGTCAGTCGGTGAGGCAGAGAGCATCATGCATCAATCTCCCATCGTCCTTCCTTCCTTGTCCCGACGTGACAAAATCACAGAGGCTCGATGAGCCTATTGTGAGTGACCGAGTACTCTTACCTACTGTACGTTCATATGAAGGAATTCATTTCTTCACGAATTAATTCTCAGAGTCGTCCACTTTTTATTCACGCTTCGATTAGATGATAACGGGACCACGTGCTCCAAATCTATCCAGCTAGGTCAAAGAAAAGCTCGTCTCTTTGGATCAAGACGGTCGCAAAGTGAGCCACAGACCAAAGAAAGATGTGCACTTGGCCGTATGATTTGTTTCTTCTGTGACTGTTGCACCTGCTTGCCATGCTTACTCCAGAATCCTGGCGAGGAGATTTACTAAAATTGACCGTCATGACCTTGTGCTGTGGCTACGTCTGCTACCACTACTACCACTACGACCACTACCACTCCACAGCAGCTACACCTTACCTCTCGATGCAAGTAAACTAAACTATAGGGCCCAGGAGGACCAAACGTATCTGCTTCTATCACCACGGTATCTTCAATGGAGGTCACTCTGCAATCGCCGCTCAGAATCTACGAACGGGTGGTCTAATCTAATGATGTTGTTCATGATCACCATAAACTTGCAGTCGATCGATGAAGATGTATGGTGCGTGATTCCTTCACTGTTGTAGCCCCTCGTCACTCGTCTCCTATTCTGGAGCGGCTCCAGGGGCTCATCTAGTGGGCTCTGTAAAGCGAGCTCCAAGAAAGAGGGTGGATTAATTTTGCAGTGGGTCCTGGATCGCTGCGAGCAAATCGGTCCAAGCACGAACCATGGATGGGGCGAGTAAACATCACATGCCATGACGCCAACTTCCTCAGCACAGGTCGTGCCAGTATTTTATGGTTTTCCTGCGTCCACTTTTTCCTGCCTAAAACAAAGTCTTCAGCGTCTCACATGGCTCGAGACAGGGGGCAAATTCGGGCTGTGGATTCCATCGACAGAATTGTAGACTGCGCACACAGCTCTATGATTGTCCGGGTTTTGTCATCTTCCCCGGCCATAAATCTCAGCGGCCGGGAGCCGCTCGCTGGGACGGGCAAAGGACGATCATGGATGGACGAAGAGGATCCGGTACGACGACTCTGGCCCCATTGCTCCCCAAACCTTGGACGCGTGCTTTTTCACCCCAGGCTTCGTAGCGTCGATGATGGAGAGCTCGAGGCCCAGCAGATATGCTGCGACATGATGACGAGCAGTCGTACGAACTTTCTGCTCAAAGCAGACTCTGAGGTGCAGGAGACGTGAAACATCTGGAGATTCTGCACAAAAGGAGGGCGACGAGGGCGAGGAAGAGGAGCAATGGAGGAGGGCAGCCCTTCGAGAATCTCATAGAATCCCCGGGCCCCCTGTTTGCAGGCCTAGAGCTGAGCTGAGGCCGAAGCTGAAGCTGGAGCTAGAGCCCAGATGGTGCATCTGTGAATCATCCATCGTCCACTGGAACAGTGGCCCATTGAATCAAACGGAATCCCCCTTGTTTGGCCCGAAAACGACGTGAACGAAAAGTCAAGATAAAAGCAAAAGTGAAAGCGACCTCGAACACGTGACCCTCTTTCTGATGAGAGCTCTCCACATGACTCTTCTCCCTGAATCGCGCCAAATTTGCTCGATTTCCTCGTCCACTGCTTCCCACAACAGTCGTAGGATTATGAGAGGCCATGCATGTCCAGTCCGAACCTTCGCTAAGGCCATGCCTCAGCGAAGGAGAGGGGGCAGAAGAAGGAGGAGGGTCCTTGACACCAACCGCATCCAACAAGGGCTTTCCGATTCCATTATCTTCCTGAAGTCGGTAGCTTGCAATCATGCGTGGGACATTGCTCTTGACATTGCTCTTGGTGACAAACTCGGGCACTCCGAAGTGAGGTCACTTCCACCACCACGTGGAGCACAAGGAACTGTCTTTGCTTCCGATGCTAGCTTACTTACTTACTCCAGGGCTTACTTCTGGGCTCCCAGCCATTCCTCTACCATACCTTCCTCCTCTAGAGTGGTCCTTATCTGGGGCTCATTCCTGCATACATACGAAGTCCAGCAACTCTGCTCTGAAAATACGGCTCAACCCTCAATCATATCCACGATCATCTACTCGAATCTGCCCATATGCGTATATGTCCCCATTACTGTGTATCTGTTAAATTAACATTATTTAAAGAAGAATTTTGAGGTAATTTTGTGCATCCAATTCCTCCCTTAGATTGGCCGGTGAAATGGTGATCGAGTGAAGATTTACAGAGAGATTTGAGATTATGATATGTTTGGTGCATGCAGACAGCGGACAGTAATCGACACTCAACTCCTCTTCCCGTCCTTCGTGTCCTACAGATCACAATTGACATATTCAGCTTTGACGTACGACCAATTAGGTTCGTTGGTTGTTTGAATGTATTAATTAAATGCGTGCGAGTCTTCGAGTTGTCTTGCTTCTCTCTGCGCAAAACTATTGTCCGGAGGCGAGCAAGAATGCCGGAGCCTCTGCCACACAAGACGTGCTGAGCTCATTCAATGTGTCCTCTGGCTTTCAAGGTCATCAGACGCAAATGAAGAGTGTGGTTTTCTTCAAACACCTGTCGGCCATCCTGCAGAGCGGCCAATCTCTTGACCTTATCTCGACTTTCCCGATGACCGGATCTGAGCCTCGGAGTCTGTATGCTTCAGGAGCTTCAGACGACGAGGAAAAGGAGGACTCGAGTTGGAAGATTGCAACAGCAGAATCTGGTGCGGTTTGCACAGGAATATGGTAGCGACGGTCTGTTTTCACAGACTGAGGGGTTGCAAAGTTGACACAGCCCGCACTGTTTGTCTCTTCGCAAGCCTCGCATGTCGTCGATATCGTCTTTTGAACTCGGGTATGATCGAGAATGTTCGGAGGCATTGTGCTCAGGGCTTCAGCCTGTTAACCTCAGGCTCGTCGACGTGCATGTCCAGTAATTACCACTAGTAGCTGCTGTTCAGTCTGATCCACTTCTCACGAAATTGTGGTCATCTAGGACTAGGACGGACAGCTGTAGCGCTGGGAGTGGATCTTGATGCCCGTAGGGCAGTTGGGAAAACATCGAAGGCACCTAACGATCACAGACTGCTACACAAGAATGACTTAAACAGTTCTAGATAAGGACGGAGATGTGATGCGACAAATTGCAGAATTTTCCTCAGTAACCAAGCAAGGAAAGGTATGAATGAGTGTCCCTGGCTCGTGCTCCTCTGTTATTTTGTGGACTGTTCTGCATCCGGAAACTATGGCCACAGACTGAGACTGTAATGAAACAATTACAGCATTTCGAGTCTCTCCAGCCACGCATTGCATATCAAAGTGGGGTTCTGTCGCTGTTTTATGTGTGTTCTGACTTCTGAGCAGAAGCTTGGGAAGGCGGGAATCGACTAGGGGTTGCTACTTTCTGCCTAATCTAATTAATCAGTATCTTCATTCGAATCACCCGAATTGTAGTATCCCATATCAAGGCTATCCAAGACAATCAATTATTCCATAAAGAGAAAAACCGAATCTACCTATCAGTCTTAAGCATAAATCAACATCATTATACACTCTACCGACATGGCTTTGCAATGGGGAAAATGATGAGATATGCCCTCTGATATCTTTTATATATCACAAATGTGTACAGTCACTGTGCTACAAAGCAGACCATTATTCCAAAGCTTAGAAGTAGCTGCACACATGGACAGACGGCACTGGAGCAAATATCGTGTATCAGAGTAATCTGAAACGAGCCTGATACACAGAGTGGTGTATATAAACTCATCAGTATTGTACTCCGTAGAAAACACGGTGAGGGCCCAATACTATACGAGTATTCGCCGATAGAGGTTGCTGGGACAAGCACTAGAGCTGGATGTCTATCAGAAGTCGTAGCTATGACTCAGGGGATAAGGGAGACTTCTTAGAGCCCAAGAATGTTGGACATCTAGACCTAGGTGCATAGGCAGGCCAGTGAAGTGGACGAGCATGTGACTGCACGGGGCTCCCTCTTCCACCCTGAAAGACTTGCCTAACTTCTCACATGACCATATCAGAACAAACGACTGGCACACATGACCGTCTTGAAAACCTCACCCGTCCTGAGTTCGTCACTCCGCCAGACCATCACCGCGCTACTGTCGCAAGTCTTTTTCTCTCCCTCTTACTTTCGGCAGGGCAGACTTGGGATTGCATCCTTCTGGTTCGGTACATTCATATTCTAGCGTCCTTCCAAGACTGGACGCCTACGCTTGAACTCCTTCGTGCATTCTATTCGCGCCCAAAGTGAAGTAGAGTGAAGTAGAGTGAAGTAGAGTTCCTCCTAACGTCCTACCTTTCCGTTGTTCTGAGCTCGATCTGTAGAATATCATTTCGGTTTGCGGTTCATGCGAATTTGTATAGAGTCCAAGGTGATGCTCGTGGTTGCCATCTAGAACGTCTGGGGCACTGTGTTACGCAGAAAAACATGAATTTCTCACTCTTCTCAACAATCCTCTGACTTTGAGGAAGGATTCAAGTCGCGCATGGTCTTGCTACTCGGCGACTTGAATGTGTGAGTTACGGTTGGCAATATTCTTCACGATGGTAGTTAGGAAATGAAGCGAATATAGCGAACTGCAGTGGCTCGAAAGTCGACCATCCGGAAGGAACGCTACTGTGCTGTACCGTTTCTGAGAATGAAGCTCGCCGAATGGAACAGCGGCGTCTGGGCGCTGAGTTTCAACGCGTCGGTTGACTCATGGACCCTATGACTCATCTGAACAAGTTTCAAAATACCTGTAATTCGGTGTTGGGTGCACCTTTGAAGATGTCTTCTATCATGACGATCATTCTTCGTCAGGTTTGTTTTGTACGTCGGTGATATTGTACTGCATATGCCTTTTCAACATAGCTTTGTACAGTTTGCATTTTGGCCTCCTCGACAGCACAAAAACGTGCATTTAGAAATATAAAAATGCATCGCAAGAAACAAAATATGCCCGCAGACTTTACTGGGATCTATGCATTCAGTGTTAAGATGTATTTATCTGTAGAACAATGATAGAGTCAGTTGAGCTACTCCGTTCATCGTAGACCAGGCTCACAGAAAGACACAGTCTCCGCCTGATTATTTACATCATTCTGCACTGATTCAAAATTCCCCCACAAATGTCAAGAAGAGAATGTTGGAGGTAACTCCGAACGGGAGGAGTGAGTCTGCCTCCCACGGTAGAGCGGTCGTTACTGTTTTATAGCCTTCCCAGTGCTTTAAATTTGGATGGACCCAAACTTCCGTCTGTTGCACTGTAGTCTCTACTTTTGTTGGTGAGATATCTCTCGAGTCCTCCGTGGTACAAGGCCTCAGGAGCTTCTCTGGGCTCACAAGTGTTCGACATGGATCAGAGTGCGAGCATCGAGGAGGAATGGAAAGGAGAGGAAGGTAAGGGATTCAAACGGACAGAAGGCACTACTGGACTAGGCTGGATCGTATGCACCGAGTGTACCGAGCTCCCAGTGTGGTGTCGCTTTTTTGAAGGAATCGGTGTGCACTTTTGAAGCACTACCCCTTGGACTGTAGTAGGCTCGAACTAGCAACTCCAGTCGTACATGGCTTGGACTAAAACCAACCAAAAGGTGCCTTCGTACAAATAAGTGGGTGCTCATGTCCCTTAGGTGGGAATTGCGTCACTTTAGAATGTGGAAACTCGTTGCTAAACATCATGTAATTAAAGTGTGAATCAGATCAGGTGGTCTTTTCACGTGAAAAGCATTCGTCACTGACGTTGACCCAGGTTGAATATCCAAGTATTTCTCAAGCTTCTAGATATTAAGTATAACCTCATTGACTTTCTTATTGGTTCTAAGACTGATAATGATTGACATATCTTGCTATTTTAAATTGAAAATATTTCTTTCTTGAAAAATGAGTGTGCATCACCATTGTAACATGCACAGCGACATCCATCATCATGATTGCATTTGAGAGAAGTTTAGACTAAGAGTAATTGACGTAACTTGTACTCAGATTAGATCACTGATTTTCTGACTAGTTGGCTCCTCGACAAAACAACAGGACCGCACTCAATTTGTTCAAGATTCACCACTTCGGCATGCAGGAATGTGCAACCTAGCTCGTACACCTTCCAGGTTGCATATCTTGTGAAATTGTTATATTATATACGACTAACCTTTTCGAGACTTGTAGATGCATCAGAAGAGTTTAATTGTATTTCCTCCAAAACCGTAACACCCTCAAGCACACTTTGGTTGGCTCCCAAAGCCAGTGATAGATGATATTAACGTAAATCAGTTGCAATTACACACAACATTATCGTCATCTATCTGAACACGATCCTGAGCGTGGAGCACCAGATGCTTTGTTCGTTTGCTCGCTTGCTCGAGGAAAACTGTCAACTGATGTTGCTCCGGGCGAATTAACTGAAGCTGAAAGAGTCTGCTACCAGGAGTCGAGTGAAGAGGTCAAACTCGCACTGTTTCACGGAAGCACCTCCTTCGGTGCGAGGACTGCTTCTCGTTCGGATTGATCTTGTTATTCAGCTCGTAATCAGAGGTTAGGTCCGAACACCAGAATCTCAGGACAGAAATTATATTTCTGTCCTGAGAATGGACCCAGCTTGTGAAAATCAGACAGCAAACCTGGCCCAGAAGCTATTATGGACCAGAAACTGTTCTAGCGGATAAAACTCTTGGTTGAAATTGGGCAGATTTGATAGATGTTAGCGAAGTCCAGCGAAGTTTTGTAAGTAATTTCAAGTACTGATCATGATTTCGATCGAAGTGTTTCTAAGAAACCAGTATTCCACCTTTAGTAGGGCCCTGGTTTATGACATCGGGATCTTTGATGGGTAATCACTGATATGGTGGCAGGGATGCAAAATTTAGACTGGCCGCTTCACCTGGAGAGGGTTCATCAATTCTAGAGCTGGTGCCTGTCAACTCATGAAAGAATAGTCTCTCACAGCAACATCGGCGGGCACAATCGATGGCCTACTGCGTGAATTCGTCCTCAGTGACAGAAGACACGCTCGAATCGAAAGACAGACTCGATTGAAGAATGGTCACACGGGAGGGTGTGGTTTGGCAGAGCGAGTGTGAAGAGCGCAAACGGAACCGAGCTGCGAAGGCGGTTGAGCGTGGCGGCATTCAGTAGACGCGGTGACCAGTCCCATCGGTGGACTGCACGAATGCTTGAAATCTCCGCTGCGCGGTGACCGAGAGGTCACCAAGCTGCGCTGCACCTCTTGGCCGCCGGGTCAGCGCTCCCACCGATCGCCCGACCGCACTAGATCCAAATCGCTGGCAACTCGCTCGGCCCGGCCCGACTGTCACTCGGGACGCACGACCTCATGGCATTCATGACGATCAGAAGCCCTGGTGCCGTGATTTCGCACCTCCCGAGCGCAATAATCAAACCTCCCGATGATTCGCGAAATTCATGAACCTGTGCACTCGTTCATGAATTTCGCGAATCATCGGGAAGAATGGGGAAGAGATGGAGATGGAGATGGAGGCGGAGAGCGATACAAGCGCCGGCTGCTGGAGCGAGGGCGAGCGAGATGAGAGACGATGATTCTCGCGGTGTGGACGAGCATCGTGAGCTTGTGGGCGTGGGCGGCAGCGCGTGAGGTGAGCGCAGCGCAGGGCGAGGTGCACTTCGACTACGCGACCATCGACGCGAGCACCGCGGCCACGCTCAAGTTCCTGCACAATGCGACGCTCGACACCACGGCGCATGTGCTCAAGCTCACGGACCCCACCGACCCCTGGTGCAGCACGCGCATGTGCCGAGGCCAGGTCGTCTACGACACGGCCATCGCCTTCATCGACGCGCAGAGCCAGCGCGCTTACTCCTTCAGCACCTCGTTCGTCTTCACGCTGACAATCCCGCGCTCGGGCGAGGGATTCGTCTTCTTCCTCATCCGCGATCCCGAGGAGGCGGGAGCCGACAGCGGCATCGGGGGTTACTTCGGCGCATTCCCGTCGAGCGGAGAGACCACGGTCCCCACCATCGCCGTCGAGTTCGACACCTCCGACGACCCGCCCGTGGACGACATCGACGCCAATCACGTGGGCGTCGACCTCAACACGGCGCATTCCGTCCAGGCCGTCAGCTGCTCGCTGGAGCAGATCAAGCTGTACGCCGGCGCACGCCTCGTGGCCTGGATCGACTACCACGACCCCGTCAAGTCGCTCGAGGTGCGCCTGGCCAATTTCAGCCAGGGCGTGGCGCGCCCCGCCACAGCGCTGCTCAACATGACCCTCGACCTGACGCCGTTCCTGGCGCCAACCATGTACGTTGGCTTTAGCGCCTCGACGTTCACGGGGCAGGAGCAGGAGGTGGCCATCTACTCGTGGTCCTTCGACTCCGAGCTCGAGCCTCCTGCGCCTCCGCCTCCCCCTCCCAATCCGCCTCCCTCCCCTCCTCCTCCCTCCCCTCCGCCTCCATCGCCTCCACCTCCCTCCCCTCCACCTCCGAGGTCTCCTCCTCCTCCCGCCCCGAGCCCTCCCCCTCCCCGATCCCCGCCCCCTCCCCCTTCGCCTCCCCCTCCCAATCCGCCTCCCCCCGTGGTCACCACCAACGCCTCGGCGCCATACCCCTCGCGCAGCAGCCCCCTCGCCGCCAACTCGAGCCGCAATGGCACCAGCGGCCACAGCCTGCTCATCATCGGCGCCAGCGTCGGAGGTGGCCTGGGCCTCGTGCTGGCGCTAATCGGGTGCTTCTGCTGTGGCGTCTTCTGCAGCCGCAAGCTCATGCTCGTCGCCGAGGCCGCCCGCCTCAAGGAAGAGGCTGAAGCCGAGGCTGAAGCCCACGAGGCTGAGTACGCTCGCTATGCGGCTATGGAGGCCGAGCATGCGGAGGAGGAGGACGACGAAGACGACGACGACGATGATGATGACGACGATGAGAGCAGACGAGATGGCGAAGCTGGACGCGATGGTGCAGGTGGAGGTGGAGGAGGAGGCGGAGAATTAGAGAGGGAAGACAGGCTTCTGGCGGAGATGGAAGAAGGGGGGGACACAGATTACCTGATGAAGTGGGGCAGGAGCATGAATTTCGTCCAGGGCAGGAATATGGACGATCCGACTTTTCTCGCGCTCAGTACGAGGAGCGACGAGGTGCCCAGCAGCAGCAGCGGCAGGCCCTGGAGAGCGAAGAGCGCCCGCGAGCTCGAAGGGGAGGGCGTGGAAGCAGAGGCGATCAGAAGAGGGATTCTGGAAATCGAAGGAGTCTCGACTTCCGTGGTCACGCCCACCTTCCGACGCAGAAGCATGAGCTTCAATATTCCGCTCGGCGATGTCTTCCTCCGCAAACCGAACGCTCCTCTGGCCTACGTTCGTCCGGCCGCTCTGATAAGTCCCGCAGGCTCGAGTTCTGTCCACGAGCCAGAATCTGCTGCTTCTGCTGTCGATGGTGGTGCGCCACAGGTTGCGGCGGCACGAGGAGAGGAAGATGTGGAAATTTTGCACGAGCTTCCGAGAACGGATTTGCGAGACGAAGAGAGTGGTGGCGCTGTTGCGCCCGAGGCTGCGGCTCCAGCGGATGAGAGCGCAGGGGATTACTCTGGAACTCCAGAAACCCTCGACAATCTGTCTGCGACACCCAATTCCGCCATTGCAAATGCGGCCACGAGAAATAAGTCCTTTACTATGTGGCACTCGGATACAGGACGCACAGCTGCTGATCCTGCTCCAGCTCCAACTGCAGCTCCAACTCCAGCTCCAACTCCAGCTCCAACTCCTGCTCCAGCTCCAGCTCCTGAAGAATCCGCCGAAGGCACCGAAGGAGACACTGTGTACAGAATTTCTTCCACGCCCAGTGCCTCAATTGCACATGCAGCCAAGAGAAGCAACTCGTGGAGTCTGTGGAATTCCGAAGGAGGCCGCGGACCCCAAGGACGCAGGCAATCGTCGCCCGTGGCAGAGCGCCGCCCTGCGCCCGAGGCAGAAATCCAGAGGCGAAGCTCGTGGAGTCCATGGAGCAGCAGTTCGGGTCCCACCAAACCGGTGCAGGTGGTGGTGAAGAGAAGCGAGGCCATCTCTCCAAGACAGATTTCAGACTCGCCCAGAAGGAGCCAAATTGCTTCTACTACTTCCAGAGATGTGGACGTTCTGCCTGCTCTGGGGGCTGATGTGCCTCCTTCGGCCATGGCAGGCGCGATCATGTACACCAACACCCTCTACGACCTCAACCCCGAGGAACCTCCCGAGGAGCCCTCGTCTCATCACAGTAGTCCTTCACCATCGCCATCCCGGCCTCGAGAGGAACCATTGTCCTTGATGATGGATGATGAGACTTACGCCCGTCCCACGGTCGAGAACATTTACGACCGCCCTCCGATGCATTCGGAGTTCAGAGAGCAGAACGTCGAGCGCATATTTGACGTTAAATTTCCAACAGATGACGAAGATGTCGACCGCATCTTCGATGTCCCTGATGTCCCTGATACGCAGCAGCAGCAGCAGCAGCAGCCTCACAGGGACATACAAAGGCTGGGCATCGACTCCGTCATGCCCAGCCCTGCCACCTCTCCCGTTGCCAGCCATGCCGGGAGCAAAATGCCCAGTCGAGCAGCCAGCCCTTCGCCCAGTCGGGCCGCCAGTCGCTCGGCCAGTTCGAGGCCCAGTCCCACGGGGACTGACACTTCCAGCCCCGCCCAAACCTCCGGCAGCTCGTCCACCGACACCGCCAAAGATTCCGAACAGAGGAGAGCCAAGCCCGGCCAAAATCCCAGTGAAAAACCCAAATGGAGATACTGACTCCTCTTCGGATGAATCAACCTTCCGTCTCCCGATTCAATTGCTCGAATTGGTTCGGGTTCTGATCCATGGACCAGCAAGTAAGCAGTTTGATCCTGACGAGCCATCCTTCTAGTCGACCTGGACTTGAACTTCCTTCCACCTTGCACCTCAATCGGACACCAATTCTCAATCTCAAAGGTAATCAATTTTCTCTGCAAGGTATAACTTATCGTAACCTATAATTTGGTTGTGAATGAACAAACAATTTGCAAATCCAAGTTACAATCGTCCGCCCTCAGAACGCCCTTCCGCGCGTTGCTGATTGACGGATCAAGGGGCTGTCAGAAGACTAAGAAGAGTAAATCCACACCTGCTAGAGAACGTGCTCATGTACAAGGGATTTGCTTGCAGACAGACAGCCCTTCTCTTGTTCGGACGGCGACTGCTCAGACTGCCACGAACAATGGGGTGCGAATCCCTGCCCGAATGCCCGAATGCCCGAACACGTCTGCAGCCGATCTCCGATGGTGCAGACAAATTGGCATGTTTGGTGAGACGAGCGAGACCGACCTTGTTGTTGGGCCAACGGCGTCACCGCTGGGATGCCTGTCCATGTCTTCTCTTACTCTACACGAGCACTATTGATCCGCATCCTAGCCCCTGGCCTACACAAAGTTCGACCTCAGATGCAACCTTCCTGGCACCGGTGCGTCATGGAAGGGAAGGGCTCTCGGGATATCCTCAAGATCCACGTAATATTCTGGAGTCTGCCTGCGACTGCTTCCTGCTATGTCCAGGTCGTCCTCATAAAAGCAACGACCTCAGCAGGTTCAGAGAAGCTTGCAGTGTGGTTAATCCATCGACCACGGTTACCCTCGGAGTACAACCTGAGCTGATTTGGGAGCCGCGAGGGAGGACGAGCTGTCCAAGCTTTCTCTGTCCAAGCAGGTCCAGACATTGCTTCAAAGGACGGTGGCTCGAACTCTCTCTCTACTGCGGACAATGCATGACGTGGGCATGAGAAGAGATTCTGTTGCGAGTGCCGAGTGAGAATTCCCAGCGGTTCCTCAAGTTCCGTGGCACGGGATCACATGTGAGGTCATTTCACGCTCGATCTTCTAAATTTGAAGACGAGCTAGGCAGCGAGGCAGCGAGGCAGCGAGGCAGATATGGGTCAGCGGTGACAGAAACATGGCTAATGTTGCTAGCCAGTAGAATAAGGGTGTCAGTGCAGTGCAGAGATTGAGCTTCTTCGGACACAAGGGTTTGATATTATTATCCTCAGTCAGCCGGTTCTGCCAGTCTGCTCATAAAGTTCGGACTGGATTGGGTTGAAGGAGGGGGTTCCCGAAAATACGGAACCCACGAGCTCGAGTGGGGCCAGGCCATGGCACAAAGAGAGGGAAAAGAAAAAAGAACTGGAACTCGAGAAACGGCAGAGCGTTTCACCGACAGCTCAAACTTGTTGCAGAATCGGTGAGGCTCGATAATCGTGAGGGCGGGGAGTAGTCGCCTGCCTGCTCCCTCTTTCAATTTCCATGGCTCTTCTGCGGATGGGTGTCGGAGTTTCTCTTGGCTCTTCGGAGCCTCCACGGACGCTGACACTTCTCTCTTCTTCTTCTTCAATCCGCGGAGACCTCTCTTCGTCTCCCCCAATGGATGCTCACTCGATCGTGCGCATTTATTGGGGCTGAAGATAGGGCGATAATCCCCATTCTCTCTCAGCGTGGACGGTGCTCGTATTTGCAATTCTCTAGGCCCAGTCGGCCTCAAGCTGACATACCACGGCCATCGCCATCCTCAAGACTGAGTGGAAGTTTGTCAGTTTTAATGCACTCAGAATCTTCAGGTTTCGATGTTGGCACCACATTCCTTAAACTTAGACATCAACCGCTCGAGTCTGGCAGCCTGGAATGCTGCCAGTCACGGTTGTGAACTGACGTCCACATGAACTCAGTTACGTACTGCTAATGCAAAGTTGGATGACCGTGCTGACGACCGAGAATTCATTTAAAGGTGGCCATTGGATCACCACATCGTCTGCCTGTCCTTCCCATCCTGTGATTGCATGGCTCAATCAACAGTTCTCTCACTCGTCAACTCTTTGGTGACGCTCTTGTACGCCTCCGAGAGCTGCCGATTACTTCTCGTACCAAGCGTGCCCTTTTGCCTCATCCGAGGCTCGTACATGTTGGCCACCTTGACGAAATTACAGTGGCTTCTAAGCCCCCGAAAATAATGGCTTGTTTCCTGTTGCAGCGTACTCAAATCATGGAAGCTACGCTCACATTCGAATCCGTCGTAACTTACAAAATCTCGAGCCTCGATTTTGGGGCCAGAGCCTGACAGGTTTCCCTCCATAATAAGGGCGATGGTCCACCCAGAAATATCAATGAGAAGAGATATTGTTGTTAGCCTAGCAAGTGGGTACGTCGAGCTCAGCGATTCTGACGATTCAAGGTCCTGAGAGCATATCAGGAGAGGGTTTGTTGTCGAAATGCGAGCATGCATGTGTGTGTTATGGACCCTTGTGCTCGAGCGACATTGTGACGGAGGAAAGTGTGCGTGTGGCCGCTGGCTCCGGGCAACAGCTCCGCTGCATGTGGCCGGTGCTCGAACACCACTCGTTCATGCTCGCATGCGGTCCGTGCATGCCTCTCATTACACAGAACTCCCGATCCTTGCTGCGCATTTTGGAAGGTTGTGGCAGGCACATATGTTGGCCATGTATGTCGACGAGGACGGCCAGCAGGGCAAATTGTCGTCGAGGCAAATCGGTTCAAGAGCGAGAGAGAGAGAAAGGGAGAAGATTTGCCCTCACAAATGCTTGCCATGCCCTTGCTGCTGCTGCTCTTCTCAGAGCTATAACCATAATAACTGAACTGAACTGAGCTGAGCTGAGCTGAGCTGAACCGAGCGAGACGGAAAGCCTTCTTATGGCCAGAGTCGACTCGGAGTCGAATTGAGGTTTGCGTGAGGTCCTCAGTTCCCAACAGGCGAACATGGGAAGCATAAAGTGAGCGTGCCGTTATTGGACATCATGATGGACAGTGCTGGGAGAGGCTGCAGCAGCAGCAGCGAACATTACGGTACAGAGCAATCGCCACAATCACCACATCAGACCGCGTACATTCTCGGGGGCGCCTCTACAACCCATCCGGGGCTGATCGGTCAGTCCTGCAGCCCCCGGTGGTGGCGATGGCAGGCCGAGTCCCAGCAGAGGGGACGGCAGGTCGCAGCCTGAGGGAGCCTCTACATGGAACTGTGGTGCTGAGAATCACCAGAGCGCCATGTAGCTACACCGACAGAGGCGATTCCGGCCAAAGCAGATGAGAGAGAGAGAATCTTGAGATCGAGTCGCCCCTGCCAAATTACTGTCCTGCCAAATTACCATGGGAGACTTGCTAAATGTGGACGGGCAAACAGCCTCCAGTGGCTGCGCGAAAGCTCTGAGGGCCAGAACGGGCGCATCAAACGCTGAGACGGGGAGAACAGAGGCCGCGCGCACTGGATGCTCGCTATCTCGTAGTAAGCCTCGCTCGCGTTTAGAGGTCTGTTGGTAGCCAGTAATGGCTCCATAGTTGGTGCAAGCAACGCTAACAGTGTGCCTGGCTCAGCTCATGGTTTGGCTTCAGCCGTACCACGTCATGCCATGCCATCCCTCGCCTCGCCTCGCCTCGCCTCGCCTGCCTTTCTCGCCCTGCCCTGCACTGCCCTGGCTGCCTGCCAGTCAGTCCGCCTAATCCAGCCAACCAGGAGAAATTTGCTGCTGACTCCAAGCAGCTTGCCTTGTCCTTTGGAGCCCGGTCTCCAACCGAGAGCTCGCAAGCAGAGGGCGCAAGTCAGCTGTGGAGGTCAGGGACGCCAAAGGCACCCAAGGCACTGGGCCGAGCTCGTGACAAGCCCTGTCCCTTGGCGAATCACAGGAGGCACAGCCAATCGCCCTCGGCCCTCAATGGTCAAGTCCATGGCGACCGGACCGGCCAGGCCACTGGCTCACTGGCCGGCTGGCTTGGCTTGGCTGGCTGGCTGCTCGGCCCAACATGGTTCAGGCGATGAGGCGATGCCATCCACGCTCTGTCTGCTTGCTGCTGCTCTCTCCCTCCCTCCCTGCTCCGTGTTGCTATTGTCGCTCTCCCTTGCCTCGCCTCCAAAAAAAAGGGTGCCCTTTCGCGAAACCCAGAACCTCGTCCGCTACGTCGACGTTTTGTGTGCGTGAGTGTTTACCACTCGGTGCTATCGTGGCACGAGCAGTCGCAAATCGGGGATGGATCTTTTCCGTCCGCCCTCCCCCACTGCCCTGGAATGAAGGGTGTTCCCGGCTTTGGATTAAGGTTGTCGGACTAGCCAAAGAGCAAGAGAGCAAAAACACGCCACCCTCCCTCCCCCCGCACCCCGCGCTCCTTTCTTCGGCAGCAACAGCATGCGGAAAATCGCCAGGCAAGGGATTGATTAATTGATTCCCAGTGCCCAGTCATCTGTGCCCTGTCCCTGTGCGCATGGATGCCTCTCTTGCCAGGAGCAGCGAGCGCTCACTCCACCGGTAGCTGACTGCTTCACCATAGCACCGAAACCTCTTCCTACAGTGTCTGGGGGATTGTCCAGCTGCCTAGAGAGTGGATCTAGAAGCAGGGCGGGGTGGGGGCAGGAGATTCATGACTCCTCCTCCCCTTGACTGGCTCGGCCGAGGTCTGGGTCACGCTCGCTCTCGGACTAGCGGTGGAATTAGCGATGGAGTTAGTGGGGTCGTAGGCTGCGAGTAGGCCGAATCATCACCACTCTCTTGACACTCTAGACACTCTAGAGCATGTAGCTGAATGATGCCCAACAGATCCTTGGCATGGAAAAAGACCACCGCTGCTGCTGCCGCAGTGTGGGCGAAGCAGAATTACGAATTTCGTCCACTGGCGTAAGCAGGGTCGGGTGAGGGAGGGGAGGGGGGGGCTCAATCAGTGGCAAAAAGGCATATTGTCTCCGGCGGAAGGAGGGAGGGAGGGATGGAAGGAACTGGCGCTGGCTGGCTGGTTGGCTGGGCTGGGATGGGATGGGCATCGAGGTTCTAATGCTTCGTATCAACGTTGACCACTGTGCACTGGAGATGTGCTCGACGTTTGAAAACCACTGCTCCTGATGCTGCAGCAGCTGCGGCTTCGGCTTGCGCTTGCGGCACCGGGGGCTCAGAGTGCATCACGGTGGCCTTCCGCTGCCTCCCTCCCTCCCTCGCTCTGTCTGGCTCGGCTCGGCTCGGCGTGGCTTGGCCTGGGCTGGGCTGGGGTGGCCTGGCCTTTCCGGCCCCCGTGCTCAGGATCCTCGCCATCAGCATCATCTTAAGGGGAGCGAGGCGTAGAGCTCATCCTGTCTGTCTCGCTCGCTGCTCACATCCCTGTTTCGCCCCCCGGCCTCGAATCTTCATAACTAGGCGCGAGCCCACTGCAGTTCGGTCGGTCTGTGAGTGTGCGTACTTCTTCGCATCCACCTGAACTGCAACGCCTACCACACCCACACCGCATCGCATCGCATCGCATCTCATCTCATCTCATCTCTTCTCTTCTCTTCTCTTCTGGCCTCTCCCCTCCCCCTTCGCTCTCGTCTCGCAGCCTGCCTCGCTCGCTCGCTTCCTTCCTTTTGAGAGAGAGCTGGCCCTCGAGAGAGCAGTCAGTCAGTCAGTCAGTCAATCAGTCAGTGGGACACGGGATCGGAGGTGGAGCGCGGCGCAAGAATCTTCAAGGCGGAGTGAGAGCGAGTGACAGAGACAGAGTCGGAGACAGAGTGAGAGAGAGTGAGTGAGTGGGTGAGCGAGCGAGCGAGTGATTTTGGCGAGACGGAGAAGGAGAAGGAGAAGGAGCGCGAGGGAATGAGAACGAGCAGCGGGTCGACACGAATGGGACCCGAATTGCGTGCCGATTCATGAAACTTGGCGAGCGTCTCGACAGGTTTGCCAGACAGAGACGAGAAGCTAATTGTTGCAACTCGAGGCGAGGATCGATTGAAGGAGGAGGAAGAAGAACAGGGCCCGAGAATCTGGACAGGAACTCAGCACGCAGACACACTACGGGCACGCAGGCACAGGGTCCGACGCAGGACTGACCCGACCGCCTGACGAGAGGAGAGCAGAGAACTGCGCTAGGCTGGGCTGGGCAGCTCGCCAGAGCGAGCTCGAGCACGAGCGTCTATCTATTTATCTGTGCGTGCGTGCGTCCGTCTGCCCTTGGTCTCGAGAGCGGTTCACAAGAGAACATCATCATCGTCGGTGATGCCGAACACCAGGACAGCAGCAGCTATTTGCATTCCTCGACCGAGGACGGACTGACTGATCGCTGCCAGCGATCATTCATTCATTCAGCAGCAGCCGACCGCCTTAGAGTCTCAGAAGAAGGGGTTGCACCAAGGCACACAGAGGATTCGACCAGCGGCCTGCTCGGATGCCACGCACGGCGGTTCCAGCTCTCTCGGACACCGAACGCAACGAGGAAATTATTAGTATGCGCCCGTCCGGAACTCCGGGCTGCGGTGCAATTTGAGCGGCGCCCTGTGAATTGAAGCGATCGAGAGGAAGAATTTCCTCCTGCCCTCAGAGCAACAAGCCCCAGCAGCGATCCTGCTTCGCAATCCGTCGGGAATTGCAGCAATTTGTGGGGAATTGGCAGAAAAGGAGAAGGAGAAGGAGAGAAGGAGACCATGGCCACGAGGCGCAGGCCGAAGCTGTCGCTGATGCTCAAGTGCGACGCGGGGCCGTCGTGCTGCAACCTGAACCCGAGCAAGGAGAGCACGGTGACGATGAACCCGAGCCTGTGGGAGAAGCTGCCGGAAAATCTGCTGGAGCAGATTCTGGCCAAACTGCCGTTCTCGGCGCTGATCCGCTTCTGCTGCGTGTGCAAGCGCTGGAAGAACCTGCTGCTGTCGAACGAGATCTCGTCGCGCTGCGACTCGTGCAAGCCCGTGCTGGTGCACAGCCTGGCCGGGCCGCTGACCGTCTACAGCCCGAGCCGCGGCGGGTGGGAGAAGCTGCCGGTGGCGTACTTGCCAATCGACGTGAGCCAGCTGTCGCTCGTGGCTTCGGGAAGCGGGCTGCTCTGCTTCAGCACCGACTCGTTCGGTGAGTTCCTCATCTGCAACCCGCTGACCAAGCAGTACCGGCGCCTGCAGATGCCGTGCGGCGCGGGCCAGGGCTGCGTCATGCCCGTGCCGTCGCCGCTGCACCTCAACCGCGACGAGTCGGGCATGAACTGCATGATCCGTCTGGGCTACCTGCGCGTCGGCATGGTGTTCAACACCGCGACGGGGTTCTACAAGCTCGTCGTCGCGAGCATCTACGAGGGCTCGGGGCGCACGACGCTGGTTTACGACTCGGGCACCGGAACCTGGAAGAAGGCGGCCATGGTGCCGCAGGGGCGATTCTTCCGCATGAAGGCCATTCCGTGCGGCGGGCACCTCTATTGCGGCATCACGGGCGTCGAGTCGGGCGTGGGCGGCGAGTCGGGCGGCTTCGCCAAGCTCGTCAAGTACGACGCCGACAAGGAGACCTGGAGCGCAATCCTGATCCCGGCGCATTTGGGGTTCCCCCGCAAGCTGGTCGAGCACCGCGACCGCCTGCTGCTGCTGGCGCGCCCGAACTGGCAGATCTCCGAGACCTTCGATTTCTTCGAGCTGCAGGAGGCGGGGCAGCGCATGTGGCTGGCTGCCAAGTACATGCCGCGCCGCCTCATGGACAGCGTCTACGCGGCCATGAGCCGCCCCAACAACCCCATCCTGCGCTCGTACATCAAGTGCTTCGGCCAGGGCGACATCATGTACTTCGTGGGCATCTGCGTCAAGCGCGCCGAGGTCGACCCTCTGCTGCGCGGCTGCTCGCGCTCCATCACCGGCCTCCGCGTCTGGACTCACGACTTCAGCAGCAACTCGTGCCTGCGCCTCTCGGACTGGGAGGACTGGGACCTCGACAATGGCCCCCTCTCCTACCACCTGCTCAGCCCCTCGCTCCACGCCCAGGTCTGATGATGGCGCCGCCCATTCGTTGCGCCGAATCACAATTATGCATTCTCATTCTCTCCTCGGCCCGAATCTGAGTCTGAGCCCGAGTCTGAGTCTGAGATGGAGCTGGTTCCCTCCTCCCTCCGGGTGTACATTGCCGTGCCGGGGGTGGGGTGGGGTGGGGTGGGATGAAATGGAATGACGCTTTGCTTTGCTTGGCTTGGCTTGGCTCGGCTCGGCCCGGCTGCCCCTACGACGAGGGGCAGGAAGCAGGAGGAGGGCGCGCGGAGTTCGGATCTCGATCGGTGGAAGAGCGATGCTGTTGGAGCGCTCGATGGCTGCTTCTGCGTCTGCTTCGAGCTCGAGAGCAAGACGCCATTTTTTTTGTCACCTGAGTTCTCGATCCCCATTCTCAGCCGTGTGTAGTATTCTCGAATCATCGACATCGTTGTTCAAAAAAAATTGGGTTATCTGCTTAGTAGTAGATTCTTCTGTCTCGTCGGCCTGGTAGGGAAGGCTGGTGTGCCCTCATCAAAGCCCATTATGCAACAGATCGAGTGAACGAGTGAATGCTCGTTCGCTGCTCGCCCGGGATCCTCAGAAATGCCGACCTCTCATTCGGACGTCTGCTGGACATGATCGTGAACAGCCGGGGTCTTCCTTCCGCACTGTTGAGATTTTGTCTACATCGGCAGTATCGGTAGCACTAGTGCGTGCTGGTTGGAACTTTTGCAGCTGAGCTATCTGGTCCTTGGGAACGAAGGTCGTAGTGTACATCTTGCAGTGAGCAATGTTTTCCATATATACTCTTGTTATACGAGTTGATTAGACTTTTTACTGTCGAGTTTTAGGGGGCTTTCCCCTCAGGGTCCATCCTTGCATGGGTTCACGGACGGGCCCCAATTTGTAACCAATATTACAATCGGAGCAAATGGGGCTCGCCCAATTAGTAGTTGCCACAAAATTGTCGGACGGGGGCCGCTGCTCTCTCCTCTCCAATCTCTGACGACCGCACCTCCGTCCGACACCATCAAGCATAGATTACAACGCTGCAGCTGGGTCTCTCGCGTGTCGACGGTCCGGTGGGCACCGGAGACTTATCTGTTGTTCCTCTTTCAATATGATTGAGAGCGAGTTTGCCCTTTGAATATGAATTGAAAGAAAACCTGTACTTTTGATTCTTTCTGGAGCAGGTCGACGACTGGTCGAACATCTCGAACCATTTAGACACAGCTCGAGCTTTGCTTCTTCTTTTTTTGGATTTTCCTTCTGGTGTTTCGAAATAGCTCTGCTTCCACGCTTCCCTGTTTTTATCAGAAGCCGAGAGCCCCTGACTCAGATGCTTCAGAAACCGTGTACCATGTCAGGCGGATGCTCTGTCTTCATCACCTTCCATATTTCGGTTGGTGAGATAGTTCATTATTGTTTCTGTGGGCGATGGGGCCCTAAGGTACACGCCATAAGTCCACCAGTATGATGGCCACTCTCACCGGGCTGACTCTCACTGGGGAGGAAGTTAATGACGCCTTGTAGCCACCATGGGAGACCTGATTGATGGTTGTGAGCAGCAGCAATGGCTTGACGTCCTCGCCATGAAGATTGTGTGGCAGATCCTCCTAGGGGCAAAACCGCAAGCCCGGTCGTCCTTCCTCCTCACGCAATCTTCCTACCATTCATTTCGTACTCACCTGTCGATTTTCTGTTTGCTCATGAAAGGGAGATGAGTTCAATGGGAACTGCGGTCCTGGGTCTCGTCTCCACTCCATCGGACTGAGAGGGCTGAGATATACGTCGGTGGCAAAGATCACATCAAGGCAATCGACTTCACAGAGACACTTCCGAGATAAAATCTCAGAAGTGTTTGATCCTGTGTCGCCTCTTCTGTGAATATCGAACACGAACGAGCACGGTGACAGGGAAATGTCATGAGAACTACTCGTTTGCAGGTAAGGGAGGATCTCAGCTGGCGCCACGACTCAATCGGATTCTTCTCGGCTGAGGCCTCAGGAATAGTCAGTCAGTCAGTCAGGCACTGTGAGCATATGTCCTGGATAACCAAAGATCACTGAAGACTTGAAGGACTCCTTTCGAGTCATCGTAAATGTTCAGTGCCGAGTGGTTTGTATGTGTGGATTTATGTTTGTGGGTTGTGACAGGAGATTCGTTCACAGAAGAACCTAAGCCCACGAGTCTCGACCCGCCCTGACCAGTACCACATGTTGGTACACATCGGGTTTACCTGGATACCCATCGGTGGCAAGTCAGCTGTGCATACAGTAATCCAAGCCGAATCAATCCGTGACAACTCAGAAGCCTTGAGCTTCCGTATGATCCGGAGCTCGGAGACTTGAATATGCAAACGAGCCTCGATGGTGTGAAAGTGACATCGGCAGGAAAGGCCCACGTCTCTCGGGCTGTGAACTGATGATGTGATACTTCGTCTGTCCAGATGTGTGAGACGATCACTGTTTCGTGGGTGCTTCACGCCTTTCCGCATGCGGAGGCGCGAGTAACGTCCAGATATTATTCTCGACGGAAGCTGCAGCGTCCCCTTTTCTCTGAGTCGAGAGAATTTCCGATGGGTATATGCGGGCCGTGAGGATGATGCCTGTGGCGGGGTGTGCGTCTGGCATGACGATTCTGCGGCTGGATTCCGCTTTCTGCTTCCCTCTCCATTCTTTTCGTGCGAACTTTTTATCAGTTTGGACCAAACAGCACTCTATGAATCTGCTTGAAGATTCCTGCGCAGTGTTCGCTGTGTCGTAGGGGCCAGAGTTTCCTGCACAGCAAGGAAACGAAGTCCCTTGCTGCCGGAACCATACTTCGAGGCGATGGTCGATTTGTAACTTGTTCCTTGCGTGCTTATCTGCGATGAGCCTCGAAGGCTATTTATAACTCGTCCTCTATGCAGATGGTGGGGCCTCGATGCCCGAGAGCTGCACTCACTCTTTGAAGGTGTGGGAGGCACGGAGACGCTTTACACCAACTGTGAAGTAAGTATCCGTCGGAGTTGGTATCCACGATGCCGAGCAACAATGGTCTGCTGTTGTCAAGTGTTCGCCACCTTCTGATCGTCCCGCCATCGCCAATTTCTCTGCTCAAGCTTGAGCTCGTGTCCTGTGTGTCCATGAATTAACAACAGAAATCCAATACTGGAGTACTTTATAATTGGTGATGTTGAAAGCAGGCGATAAAGGTGTCTGAAGAATAATTAAATGACTCTATGCGGACATTTTACATTGAAGATGCTAGATCACAGAAAGATTTCAAGTCAGAAGACTGAAGATATAATGGTATAGATGTACTAAAATTCTCTGCAAAGGCTTCAAAATAAGTTCAAACCCCAATTCGTCGGAAACTTTAAGTTGTCATCTGAGACTATGTACATCATGCTCTTCTATAAAAATTTTAAAAGTGCCAAATAAAGTGCCTTCGTTTATATTACGTACGTCTCGGCATCGAAATAAGAGATCAAAGCTTGAAAGTGTACAAGGATATTACTACTTACTTATATACATGTCAAAGAAAATGTAATTGATACTTCGTTTTAAACTTCATAACCTCACACAGTAGAGCTCATTATATGCCATCAACCAACTATTGAAAGTTTTAATGTAGCATTATCTCTGTTAATATTCCAACCAATGTTCATTACACTAAAATGACTCTAAAGTAGGAAAAAAATAAATAAATAAATAAATAAACTTCATAAGTATTGGATATAAATGCCAATTGTAAAATTCAACCTCGCATTTCATTAGAATAGTCGTCTTCACCAAAGGTTGAGGGCAATGACCGATTAATTACTTTGAAATATGTTTCTGCGTCCCATATGTTATCTCGAATGGTGTTCAGTTCGCGCGAAGACTGTCATAACATGTCGCGGAAAAGGTGGAGGCCTTTTGCTGCAGAATGTAGACCCTAAACCCTTTGCAGCCCAATAACGTGGGACTGGAAATCATGACGAATGTCCATGCATCTGAGCCAGAAGGATGAACACTGCGCACAGCACTAGCGGCATGCGGATCACTGGGGATGAGCCGGCCGATCTGGCCGCCTGAATGCGAAAGAACTCCACGGGGCGAAGCTCGGCCGAGAGCTTCGATCGGTGGAGCTTCGGTGCTTCTGAGACTTGTGAGCCAGAAGGGTTCTGGCGATGGTGGCCCGTGGACAATTCAATCAACTGCTAAAGTGTCAGCCTAATCCAACAGCAGCGACTCGGCACCTACTGGATGCAACCTCTGCAGTAGGCACCACATTGGTTGGGCCCATGAACGCTGGCAAGGATGGAGTGGGGGGGCCTGGCGTCAACCATGCCCAACGCTGCGTCACTCGAGTCTGTACCAACAGGCGTCTCCAGGACGGGCTGCGCTCTGGATTCTGCAGGAGGAATCTGGTGCTACCACTTGGCTCTCTCGTAGAGTCATCCCGCCGGGCGGGTCACGAGCCATCGTCGACTTTGTCCTCACGTGCATTGCTGGTGAGGGCGAAAGTCAAGTCAAGGCACGCATCCATCCAGGAATCGGAGTCCAAGCCCCTCTCACTCGAGCTCAGCTCAGCCATGCTGCATGCGTCGCATCATGCGATCTCTCGCTCGAGAGGTCGACTCGCTCGAGATTTCAGGACGACATGGGAACAATCGGATGCCCAAGAACTAAAGATAGTCGAGCGTCCTCGCGTTCTCGCGTTTCCTGACATGTCGTGGATGTCAGAGCTTCGAGGCTCTTAATATGGAGAAGGTGAAACTGGTGCTCTGCCTCTTCGAGCACTTCGGGACTTAACGGTTGCCCAAAGAGGCAAGCGCAGGCTCGAGCCCGTCTTTCTGTAGGACGAGACCTCGAGCCGGGCCGGCATCTTCGTTCGAGCCTTTTCTGGAGCTCGAGATGCCAATTGGGGCCGTTCTTCAGTGTCGATCGAGAGGTCTGCTCTGATCGCTGCTCGGTGCTTTATCCAGCTTTTCCAAGAGGAGATGTGACAGTGAAGGTAAGAGCTTACAGCTTGTTCCTAGGTGCAGGTCGTGGGGATTGACTGACTGACAAGTGCACGCGGACCACCTGTTTTACTGAACCGAAATGGCGCCACCCCTGATACGCGAGAACTTTATCACAGCTGTCGCCTGACCTTTCCGGAATCGTCAGGGCAGACAGAATATGACAAACCTGGAAATTTAGGAGAGATTCGATATCTTCTCGAATTCTGTATGGACCGCTTCGATCCGAGAAGGTTTGGATCGTGACAAATTTTCGTGCAAAGCTCCACTACAAATTCTTCGTGCATAGTTTAGGAACTTTGCACAAAGTTCACGTCTCAAGGTATGCTGGAAACCATCACACTTAGAAGGACAGATATCACATGGCATCCTACGGAAGTTTTAAGAGATCCGGTTACCAGAATCGATTGTTCTTGAGGTTTTGTTTGATTACATTCTCCTTAAGTTACATAGCAACTAGCAACTACTTCGAGGAAAAATGTTTCTCGACACAAACCCTCAGAGACATGTGTCGTCACATAAGAACCTGAAGCCTATATCAGTGGACGCCCTGTGCTCATGTCTAAAAGAGTAACTAAAATTTAGAGACGGAGCGAGTCAGGTAGTAAAAACATGGAAAGACCCCATCAAGTCCTGCAGTGATGAAACCGTAGGTAGGGGTGGGATGTAGCGACGCTCCAATAGCATCACAATGGGAACTATGTCCTATTAAATTTATCTATCCGAACTGTACAGATTAGACAGTTTTGGTATTATTGGAGCATCCGAAAAGTCAATCACCCAAGGCCATTGCTCTCCTATAGAATGCTCTCACCAACCTACCTATAGATTTCTGAGCATAATTCCGTTCTCGGCAGAGGTCGGCATCCCGTAATAGAAGGTCTCGACAAAGACGTGAACCAAGTTGCTTCGTTCAAAGCTTGAACGATGTAACTCTTGGTGCAAAGTTTTTACAGACTGCACCAAGACACGACATGCATTGCATTTCGTCGTTTCTGAATACCGGAGTCGAAAGAGCCCAGCCCAGCCCACCTTCTATGATTTTTTCATGTCGGTAAATGTATCGACTTTATCAATCGTGTACAATGTACTAACTGTATCAAAAAACTGTAAATCAGCGAGTGGTTGCTGATTTTAGCTTCTCTATGTACCTCGTGCGGCTGAACGATGAACAAGGAGAAACAGAAACTCCAGATGTGAACCTGATGATCTTCTGAATAGCAGAAGACTATTCAAAAGTATGCACAAATGGCCACCTTCTGATTTTGGCACGGAAACAAACTGTCATTGCCAGATCTAGAAACGAGGAGACAAACCAGATGAGGCATAGAAGAGCACGGACAGAGAACGATGCTCAGATGCTTTGCTGAGAGAACGTGTGAAATGAGCCACAGAATGATCTTGGTCTCTTGAAGAAGGCGGACAGCAGGCTTTATATACCGGGGCTAGCAAGCAGAAACAACAAAAGAAACTTAAGCCTGGGTGGCGAATCTCCTGGAGAATCGTGGAGGTGCCAGCAGCATTTCAGCAGTTCATCCTCTGGAAAATTGTGACCCAGCGTGATGAAAGGTCCTAATCCCAGCAGGCAGCAAGCAAGATGGGCAAGACATAAGCCCACCTCCGTTTCAGGGAGGGCTGTTCGTCCCAGAATATACTTCGTTGCAGGGTCTGTAACGTGCTCTTCCAATACTTTTATGCCATGAACGCTCGAGGCTGAGGTCCTACGGAGAAGAAAACTGTCATTTGAAGATTTGTTTCACTGTTCTTAGACGGCGACTGGAGGCCATTCCCAGACATCAAAAGGTGGTAGTCGCTGTCACTAGAGCAGGTGATGTCAACAGAGTCGACCATGCAACTGAGAAATTCTAAGCAAATGGTGCATAGATTAAAACAGCAAGCCTCTCGTTGGATTCCCTCTTTCAGGCAAAAGCGAGTGCTAGCGGACGTGGACATGGACATTCATGATGTTTCTAGTATTTGGGGAGGAGTACATATTCTCCAGATTCCAGTTGCTGGGCTCTTGCTTTTAAGGCAGTTGACTTCGTCCTTGAATAAACTGCTGGTGAGTCTAAATGTAATTGATGAGCTTGGACCATGGATTGGAGGCTGTCTGCTTATTTGCTGTGAGAAACGGGAGGGCCTGCGAGAAGTGGTCCCATCTTTGAGGTCTTGAGCATTTCTACCGGTTTATTCCTTGAGTTGTTGTGTCCTCGTTGCGCACGACTATTCTAGTCCCATAATAAGTAAAAGATTGGTAATTCTGGCACGTCTGCGTCTAAATTGGAGGATCTATTGGCATGTGGGTCAAGCATTACCACCTTCTCTTGTTGTGATTAGTTCATCTTTGCTTTTAGAGCTATCTACCTATAACCTCTACATCGTGATCCATTCGTAGGACTAAATGGATCACAATGTACTTGGACTTTGATTGGAACTGCAATGAAACCTACAGCAAATCCCGTCTTGGCCTTATGATCGCTTGACACATATTTGGAGTGAAAATCACTTCTACTACGTAACCTGCATAATTGGTAGTTTGAAAGAGCGAATTAGACCCTTATCAACAGATTTATCTTCTGAATACTATTGTCGAGGCCACCATGACTATGATTTTGACTATGTATGGCAAAGTCCTTCTCTGCATCTGACATGACCAGCTCATGTCATTTCTCAAGGACTCATCGCTCCTCTTCAAGTGCAAATCCGCCTCGTCCGGGCAGTTGAATGCATCAGCTTCGCATTCTTTTCGGTCTGACCGATAGTCGATGCAATTCAGTGTTCAGCATTCTTTGCCCTGACTCCTCACTTTCACTCATTTACTTTTGGCTTTTCTTTTGCTAGTGACGAGGAACTGTTGGCATTTTTAGATGATTTTCAATTTTTTTGAGATCAACTTGCAGATTGATTTGCATCAGAAAAACAATCTCTAACCATCCAAGACGATGATGAACAGTTGGAATACTTATAAGCAAAGAATGTGTTTATTTCTTTGATAGATACAATAAAGAAAAAATGTAGAAGTTGGAATAATGATAAGCAAAGATTGTGTTTGCTTCATTGATAAAAACAATCAAGCAAGAATGGAGAGGCTATGATCTTTTTGTATTTTGAATTGATTCAAAATGATTAGTTATGATGCGTATTGCAGAAAAAAAAATTGAGTTTTTGAATTTTGACTTCGATTCAAAAGTAGTAGATTCAAGAGTCTAATAGAATTTCCATTGAATTCAAATGTGAAAAATAGATTGATCCAAACAAAACAACATGAAAACTATGACTATAAGCAATGCCAAGTTTGACATTGCTAATTATAATCAACAATTTGATTAGCTTTTGTGATATGATTTGTTACAAAACATGTTAAAAAGCTACTGATTTAAACAAATTGATCAAA